ATTCTTATTCTACTCGTTTTCTCAGACAAGATTCTGAGCCTCCATTGTGGGCAGGGACTGGAGGGTCACAAGTGACCCATAAGCTGATTGTGGCCCCATCTAGTCCCCAACTGGACCCAAAGCTTCCTTGTGTTCTGATCACTGATCAGAGATTATTAAGAGCCTGGAAAGTGGTTGGACAGAACTGAGCCCCACTAGGCAGCCTCAGAAGCTACCACACTGGGATGCATAACATTCGCTTGCTCTTTATATATAAATGTATATATACTGTATGTAGTGAGGGGAGTCGCAGCATCAATTGTTGGGTGACAATTTCAACAGGCTCTTAAACAGAGCAAAGCAGTGGAAACCGCTTGTATGAAAAGGATGAGGAAATATGTTACCTCTCCAGATGTTACTGGAGGGCAACTCCCATCAGCATCGCTTATTATGGCTAAGGCTTATGGGAGAGGTATTCCCAATAACACCTGGACGTCTGACACAGTCTCCATCCATGATGGAAGACTTCAAAGATGACTTGTGCAATTCCCCAAGCTCTAGGACAGGGGGTTCCCAACCTCGGTTCCCCAGATGTTCTTGGACTACAACTCCCAAAAATGCTGGCCAGCACAGCTAGTGGTGAAGGCTTCTGGATGTTTTAGTCCAAGAACATCTGGGGAACCAAGGTTGGGCACCATTGCTCTGTTAAGACCACCTGCTCTATGGTTTCGACCACTGACAGCACCGCAACTAATGTTTAGAGAGAGAAGAGGACCTTCAGCACAGCTGGCTGAGCTTGCCAGTCAAAAAATTAACAGGAATATTGGCTTCCTCGCTCTGCTCTGTCCTTGAAACAGACACTCATAGCAAATCCTGTCTGTAATTAGGAAGTTTGCTTTTGACTCACCAGCACTGGAGAAGACATCGGCTGCTTACGTTCTAAGCATTTTATTCTTTTCATAAGCAAGAGATTTTAAAAAGTGTCATTTTGAATGACAACTCCCATAATGCCCAGCCATCTGAGAACTGTCAGTTTTCCTAAGCTGGGGTCCTAAAACCCCTTCTCTATCTGAATTTTTTTTTCCTTGGAAGACAGACTCTGTTCTGCTGCTGTTGCCACTAACAAAAAAGAGCGAAACAAGTCCGATTTCGTTTTAGCCAGCAAGGCAGGCTAACAGAGGTCTGATGCTTATGTTGTTATTTTCGAACTTCTAATGAAGTGGCCCCAAGTCTCCTTTAACAGGGATGGGAATTTCATCCCACCTCGCTGTGTTTTGTACCTCTTTTGAGCACATCTCATATGGAAAAACACCCTGTAAATAAAGCAAGAGATTTCACACATGTCTTCCAGTCCTTTTAAGGTCACAAAAGCATCAGTGCTAGAAGAAGCCCCAAGGAGAAGACCAGTTCCAGCAGCAGCCAGCTGCACTGCACTCCTATTCTAAAAGACTTGAATCAGGTCACATACCTTAATTATATTTGGTTGGAGTGCTGCAATGTGCACTGTGTGGGGCTAACCTTGAAGACTGTTCAGAAACATCAGATGGTGCGAAATGCTGCAGCCAAACCATTGACTGGGGCTGGTTACAAGGATCCTATCACTTTCCTGTTACAGCAGCTTCATTAGCTATCGGTCTATTTCCAAACCTCATTCAAAGTAGTGCTCATGGCCTATGAAGTCCCATACAACTTGGGTCCAGGTGATATGAAAGACTATCTCTATAACCAATCTCAGATGACAAGATCTTCCAAGGGAGGCTCTCCTCTTGGTCCCATCACCCTTCTAGATACATCTGATGAGGACCCAAGAAAAGGCCTTCTTAGTGACTCTGCGCCCACATTATGGAAAGCCCTCCTTCATGAGCCTGGGCTGTCCTCTTCTCTCCCATCCTTTCGGCAACCAGTGCAAAACTTTTTAAAGAGGCTTTTAATATCTAACTTAGATATTAGATTAGGTATTTAATACCTAATATCCAGGTTAGATGCCTTAGGTTGCTGCTTTTCTATCCTTCTAAAACACCTTTCTAAAGATGTTTCAAATTGTTTTCAAATGGGTGTTTCAAATAACTGCATTTGAGTGCTTTTTTAGTGGTTTGATTTATTGTGTCTTGAATTCTTATTTGTTTTAACCATGTGTGAGCCACACTGAGTCCTCTCAATGGGCAAAACATGGCATAAACGTGAAATAAAAATAAAGCCAGTTACCTCGTCTATTCCTGGAAGGACGAGGACATCTGGTCGAACACAAAGGCGAATCTGGATGAAGCTTATCGCAGATGAGAACGCTGCAGTGAAAGTATACCTAAGAACAGGAAGTAAGAGGTGTGCATCATGGTGTCAACGCCTACTGAAGGGGGAAGATAAAGAGAAATGAGAACTCTACCCCATTACTGTAGAAGCATAAATATGGACTAGATCAGAAGCAGCTAAGCCTGGAGGGTCTCAAGATACTAACCCCCATTATCTACCATTTGCTAGAGTCCATGCCAACACTTTATGGCAAAACCGCTCAGATCTAGTTCTTTAAAAATGGGGTACAATGCTCAAACAAGAGGATGGAAAGGAGCATCTCATTTTTTGGGAGGAGAAACCCTGGTCTCTGTAGCTTCTGGAGATGCAATCCACTTTGGAGGGAGGTTGCAGTGAGGGCCTCTGGAGCCAAGGTAGCCCCCACGATCCCCCACTGGCCATCCTACTGCCATCGCATCCTGATTTTTCTACAACAGGGGCTGTTTCATGTAGGGAACAAGGGACCTCTGAATGTACATGAACTCCTTACTCCGATCATCCCCTGCCAATGACCAAGCTTATAGGGATTTAAGAGACCCCCCCCTACCGGGAGAGTCCCAGGTCCCCCCAGCCGTGCTACAGCAGGAGTAATTCTACCATTCCTGGCCCATTTCTGCAACTACCCACTGGTCCATGGGGTCACGAAGAGTCGGACATGACTAAACGACTAAACGAAAACGACCCTATTACTGCAGTAGCATAAATATGAACTAGATCAGAAGCAGGTAACCCTGGAGGGTCTCAAGATACTAACCCCCATCATCTACCATTTGCTAGAGTCCATGCCAACCCTTTATGGCAAAACCGCTCAGATCTAGTTCTTTAAAAATGGGGTATAAGGCTAAAACAAGAGGACAGAAAGGAGCATCTCATTTTTTGGGGGGAGAAACCCTGGTCTCTAGCTTCTGGAGATGCAATCCACTTGGGGGGGTTGCAGTGAGGGCCTCTGGAGCCAAGGTAGCCCCCCACAATCCCCCACTGGCCATCCTACTGCCATCGCATCCTGATTTTTCTACAACAGGGGCTGTTTCATGTAGGGAACAAGGGACCTCTGAATGTACATGAACTCCTTACTCCGATCATCCCCTGCCAATGACCAAGCTTATAGGGATTTAAGAGACCCCCCCCCCTACCGGGAGAGTCCCAGGTCCCCCAGCCGTGTTACAGCAGGAGTAATTTTACCATTCCTGGCCCATTTCTGCAACTACCCAGAATGCATCCCTGATAAGGCAGGCTTTTTCCTCACTAACTGGCTGCTTAAGCATCCCGGCGGCTTCTGGTTCCCCCGACCCTTGCAATTGTTTAACTCAATCAGTCAAAACTTCATTGTTTATGGCCGCAGGCCTTTACAATGTGCGCTGTATGATATAAAAAGAAAATCCAAGTTTTCCATTTTAGAACTACAGTACATGTTTTTAAATGTGCCCTTCTGTGAGCAGCTCCAACTCAACGATTGACCATTAAATTAAAGGGCATTGCGGTCTTTGAGAAAACCAATTTTCTAATCGCTTGTTTGAACCTTGGAAGCTGCCTCAGGGCCTTCTTGAAGAGAAAGAAAGCGTACACTGATTTTAAATAAACAGAGAAGAAATATCGCAGCTACTACTCACTAGGCTGGGCAGCGCTTTGCCACCAGAAACAAAGGCAAAGGCCTTCACTTCAAATCTCTGACGGAAGTTGGGAAAGCTGACCAGAGGGCCCACAGGATGGAATATCGTTTTATAGTTGTCGAGTTCATAGTCACACCTGCGAAGCCAAGGCAGCACAATAAAGGCATCGTCTTCTGGAGTCAAGAGCTTAGTGGCTAGAAAACGGGCGGAAACTTTAGGGTTCCAACGCCAAGCCTCCACTCAACCACAAAAGTCAGTGGGCAATTGTGGCTGGGCCACTCCCTTGCTCTCCCTCCCACAGCAAAACATACAGAGATTTAAAACAGTGGTCCCCAACCTTGGGCTCCAGATGTTCTTGGACTACAACTCCCAGAAGCCTTCACCACCACCTCTGTTGGCCAGGATTTCTAGGAGTTGAAGTCCAAGAACATCTGGAGGCCCAAGGTTGGGGACCAACGATTTAAAAAAACACCTGCAGACCTACACTTTGGTGCCTACACACAGAGGGGACAACACACACCTATTTCTGCACAGGAAGGGGGAGGAGAACCCATGAACAGATCAACTGCTTTTGGTAAACACAAGACTACCCATTTTCAGACCCTTACTAGCCATGTCATATGAACTTAGGTGCTTGGACATTTTGGGTGATCATAATGATCTCTAAGTCTAACCAATTACCTTGGAGGTGGGGATCGCTCCAACACTAGAGGCGTTCAAGAGGAAAGTGGGCGACCATCTGTCAGAGGGTTTAGATTCTTGCACTGAGCAGGGGGCTGAACGTCATGGTCTTATCGGCCTTTCCAACTCCATTATTCTATGGTTCTAATTTGGTTATAGCTAGAAATCGGCAAGAATTGCGGGTTTGGCGGTTCAGCCCGATTTGTTTTACCACTGCAGTAGGTACCCCTCTCTGGCAGGCGGCCACTCAAAAGCAGAGGAGCTAGGGCAGGGAAGCAGAGAGATTGCTTCTGAGTGGGGGCCCAACAAAGGAGGGGGACGCCAAACCACTGAATACCTGTTGTGGCAATAAACGAACCAGGCCAAACCTGCAGTTTGTGCCTATCTCTAGTTGCAGCTCTGGAGAAGAGCTTTGGCCGTGGACTCCTCCAGCAACAAAACACCCTGATCTCGTATCAGGGTATCACCCAGATCATACAGATCTTTTCCGATTACAGAAGCTAAGCAAAGCCAGGCCCGGTCAGTATTGGGATGGGTGACCAGCAGGGAATACCAGGGATGTCTAGATAGGATTTGGGAAGAATCTTGGTTCAACCCCTGAGGAGCTGCTGTTAGTCAGAGGTAGCAGTGCTAGGCTGGGTGGATCAAGGGTCTAAATCAGTGGTTCTTAACATGGGCGATAATGCCCCCCAGGGGGCAATTTCATTTTTCAGGGGGGCACTAGAACGAAAAGGGGCGGTGTGGGGGCGCTGGAGCAGAAGGGGGGCGGTAGGGGATGCTGGAGCAAGCCAAACCTGTGAAGATGGCTGCAGCCTTTTTACAGTGTGCATGAATATATATTTTCCTCCAATTTTAATTTAGTTTCAGACTTTTTGTCTTGAAATTTTTAGTTCCTGCATTTCTTTTTAAGCCCTTTTTATATTTCTTTTTGCGTCTTAAAATTCACTTGCAACTAAATAATTAAATGTTACTTTTTGGGGGGCATTTCATTTTCTTGGAATTTAATTTTGTTTTCAGGGGTCATTGGATTTAAGTGTCTTAAATAAATAAATAAATAAATAAATAAATAAATAAACAAACGAACGAACGAACGAACGAACGAACGAACAAACAAACAAACAAACAAACAAACAAACAAATAAATAAATAAGATATCATCACCGTGGGCAGGGGGGCGATGATAACTTCCTCAATGGCTCAAGGGGGCGTTTCTTTCAAAAAGGTTAAGAACCACTGGTCTAAATCAATAGAAGACACTCTCCTACATACCTATGGCTCACAGGGAACTCTTACTCACCCATCCACCACAATGTTCCAGCGTGGCAAGGAGGCCGGATCCAGCGACAGAGTAGCCCAGCAGTCATCTAGCATTAAGTGGATGTTGGGATCATTACGACTGAGCACTTGGACCTCCAAGAAAATGGGCTGTCGCAGGTATTTTACGATGGGATATTGGTCGGCGTTGTACGGGGCTGTGTAAGAGCCGTCTGCAAGACAGGAAACCAGAGGAGAGGCATCTAATTCAGGTGTTCAGTTTTACCACCAAATAGATCACCAGTTCATCGCGGAGGAAACTTCATGCAAAACATATAGTAAATTCTTAGCCAGATGCCTCGAAAAACCATTCTGAACATAGAGGAACAGTTTGGGCAGCCACGGCTTTCCGACTGCCATTGGCCTTCGCTGTTCAAGAACAAGACTGGCTTGGTTTCCGTAAGCGATGCTTCTGAGAAAGGATTTCGCCAGAACTGACTTCCCTAAATTGGCCAAGGACCTGGAGTCTAGCATTCCCTCTTCAAACACGGTAACTCACAAGCAAACAGGGTCCCGACTAGCATAGCTCCTTGACAGAGCCCAGCATAAATTAGCAGAACAAACACAAGCCTTCTCCGAATGCAACAGAAGGACTGGCTGCCGCATCTTGAAATATACTTATTGTCATCTAAGTGTGTGTGCTCCCGTGTGTGTCTTTGCAAGGAGTCTAGCATTCCCTCTTCAAACACGGTAACTCACAAGCAAACAGGGTCCCGACTAGCATAGCTCCTTGACAGAGCCCAGCATAAATTAGCAGAACAAACACAAGCCTTCTCCGAATGCAACAGAAGGACTGGCTGCCGCATCTTGAAATATACTTATTGTCATCTAAGTGTGTGTGCTCCCGTGTGTGTCTTTGCAAGACGATCAAATTGTCATCTAAGTGTGTGTGCTCCCGTGTCTTTGCATGACGATCAAACACACTCTACTGTCATCTACCTGCCCTGTTTACAGTGCTTTTAGATCTTAACACTGCCTGATCTTGCACTGGAATTTTATGCTGTGTTTTTCTTCTTCTTTGCTGCCGTTTTATTCTTTGCTAGGTCTGGAGGGCCTGGATGTCGAACTAGGGATCAGAATGCTCCACAGTGTCTCTTGGGAGATGGGTCAAGCAAGATTCCCTTGGAGCAGGTGTGGGCTGATGGAGTTACTACATTCCCAGAGAAAAGGACTGGTAAACTGCTACAGAGCAAGTTACATTTAGAAAACCCAGAAAGAATCACTGTAAGTCAGAAATGACTTGACAGTCCATAATTAATATGATTTATTCTTTCATGGATTGCATTTTATATTTTTAATATATATACAGTGGTGCCCCGCACGACGATAATCCGTTCCAAGAAAATCGCTGTTAAGCGAAATCGTCGTCATGCGAAAAGCCTTTCCCCGTTGGAATGCACTGAAACCCGGTTTAATGCGTTCCAATGGGGAAATTACCTCGTCATCCAGCAAAGATCGCCCACAGGGAAGCCATTTTGAGAGCGCCGATCAGCTGTTTTTAACCACTGTCTTGCGAAAATCGGTCCGGAAAACAGTGGGGAGCCATTTTGTGAAGCCGACGACCAGCTGTGAAAATCGTCGTCTTGCGTACAAACGGTCTGCGAAGCACGGACCTAATCATCGCCAAACGAAAATCCCCCATATGAAACTTCATTTTGCAATCGCTATAGCGTTCGCAAAAAAGTCAGCGTCCTGCAGATTAGTCGTATAGCAGGGTCGTCGCCATGTAGGGCACTACTGTATATTATAATTACATATTTTATAATGTCTATTTTATAACTATATATAATAGAGTTATTTGTATATATGTTTTTTGCACTATCTATCAGGCACTCCAAAAAATGCAAGGGCTAAATATATCCCCAGTCCCAATGATGTAGTCTTGCAACTATCTGATGAGCTCATGCAACAAGCCAAGGAGCTCGACAACAGCAGCGGCCCTAAATGATACCTGCAACATGAAACAGAATCCTAGCAACATTAGAAACTTTGATGAAGCCCCACCTGGATAGATGAGAAAGATCAAGGAGAGGGGACCTTGGTTTACGACAGACTCAGGGGGAGGGAGGCTGTTGATCTTCAAATTCACTGAGGCATCATCACTACCATAGGAACACATCACTGTTAACCTGCAAGAAACCAAACCAAAAGAATGTGGGACGTTAGCTTCCTGGTACCAACCTGAGAGCATCTGAAGATGGCGGAGCTCGGAAGCATTGTAATTTTTAAATAAAATTCTGCCAGTCCCCAACTCATGATCACCCCAGACCTGGGGGCGCCCCTTAGTGGTTCGCTTTTCAAAGCTCTGAAATACGACGCAGCCGACACCCTTCTGGGAGCGCTGCCTCCAGTTCCCCAGGTTTTGGCCCCTACACTGGGAAAAAAATCTACAAACCAAGTACAGTGGTGCCTCGCTAGGCACGAAAATGGCTGCCGGCACCTGGAATCCTCGCTGAACGGGTGAGTAACAAAGGTATTGGAACTTCGTTTAATGCGTTCCAATACATTTCCCCTACCCGTTTAGCGATGATTCCGTATAGCGAGGGTTAATCCGGAACGGATTAACCTCGCTATACGGGGCACCACTGTATACACGGTGAGAGTGCTATGTTCCCCTTCGTTTTTAATTTAAATGGTCTGCGTCAATCAAAGATCGAGCCAGTTCTAGGCAACCCCCTAACCTTTATGTTTCCACACAAACTTGCATCAAGCGTGCAGGCTCTCTATGGCCACCAAAGAGCTGTCAAGTTTCATTAATTTTTTTAACAAGCAACCAAAAAGATGCAGATGGCATAATCCAAACGGCTCCTTTGCTCCCTGTTAGCTTTGCCATAGAATTCCAGCCGATTTCTCAAATGCAGGCAAATACCGCTCACCCCAAACCGTTTCATGTTAACCTTCGCCTGATGGTTCATTTTATAAAAACAGATGCACTCCACCGGGCTTATGTCAAACTTCTCCCCCTCCCCAGGACCTTTGGGTTTCGCCACATGCCAGAGCAAAAAGCTGCCACAGGACCAGCCGCTTGCTGGGGCCATTTCCACACCTGCAGCTGCTTTAAATACTAAAAGGACACCAGCCGGGGAAACAATTCTTAATGGTACAGTCATGTCAGTCCTTTTTGAGAGCAGATAGAGCCTTCCACTATTTGTTCAAAGATCACTGCACAGAACCACTTACAGTATCTGTTCACTGCAGGAGGCTTTCTCCTCGTTAAATCTGCTATTATAATATCAGCAGTTGGCTATGTCCGCACATTTTTCTGTAACTTCATGATCAGAACAATCTTTGCTGCCTTTTACCACCCCATCTACGAACTTTAAGGGAACATGGACTCACTACAAACAGAAAATTACTTTGCATCCGGTCAGACATTTCTCTGACTAGGCTTGCTCTGAACTAGCTGTTGGGTGCAGGACCCTTACCCATCACCTGTTACCCGATTATCTAACGGGCTACACCACAGATTGAACCTGGAGTCTCCTGTATACAAAGCAGGTGCTCTACCACTGAGGAGAAGGCTAAGTGATATGCTAAACCTGTTTTTTGAAGAGGTGCTCCTTCAAGTAAAAGTTATTTGCATGTCACAGTGCATAATTTTTTTCACATTTTGCATTCCGTCACTGGCAGTGGGAGGTAAACTCAGGCAACATTTGCAAGTCTGATTGCCGAGGCACACTCCCCCTGAGGAAATCCTGCTGCTGGAGGAAAAACCACCTGTTCTTACACTGAGCCACAATCTTTCCTGAGGTAAGACAACACCAGGAAAAGAGACTAGATGACAACAGAAGTAATAAGATAAGGAGCTCTGGTGCAATTTTATTTTTGATAAGTCAACTTTAGAGCCAGAAGCAAAGGAGGACACACACACCTGAATTCACTGTCTCTGGAAATCCCGTGAGGTGGAAGATCTGCCCACAGTGCACGGACTTCATTCTCATAAATAGCCTTCTCCCCATCAAACTAGAAAACAAAGAAAAAACAATTTTTATAGCAGTAGTCAAGTTGAACCAATCAGCTGGGCTCCAGTTTGGGGAGAAAAACTCACCCTCTGCGTAGTCCCACACTTATTCAACGGCACACGAAACCGAACCACGTCATTTGAAGGAGATCTGACAACGGGCTTGCAGGTGGGGTCTTTAAGCTTGAGTGTATCGAGATTCAGTGCCGGCTTTGTGCTGCTACTAAACACATCAAAGTCCATGTGGCCGTCTTGGGTGCATACAGCAGCTGTAACAATTGCAAGTCAAGTCACTGTACTTAGAACTCGAAACTACAAAGGTACAGACAAGTCATCACCAGAAGGAGCGTCAAGTCACTGTACTTAGAACTCGAAACTGCAAAGGTACAGACAAGTCCTCACCAGAAGGAGCTACAGTGGTGCCTCGCTTAACGACGTTAATTCGTTCCAGCGAAATCGCTGTAGAGCAAAAACGTCGTAAAGCAAAATTTAAAAGCCCATTGAAACGCATTGAAAACCGTTCAATGTGTTGCAATGGGCTGAAAAACTCACCGTCCAGCAAAGATCCTCCATGGGGTGGCCATTTTCGGTGCCTGTAGAGCGAGGAATCCGTCCAAAAACACAGCGGTGAGCCATTTTGAGCACCCAGCAGCCATTTTGAAAACCCGACAATCAGCTGTTTTGATCGTCGTAATGCGAAGAATCGGTTCTCGAAGCAGGGAACCGATCTTTGCAAAGTGAAAAAACCCCATTTAAAACATTGTTTTACGATCGCAACAACATCGTTGTGAAGCGGATTCGTCATTAATCGTTAAGCGGGGCACGACTGTATTTCAATGCTGAAAAGTGACTGTCATACGTTTTTCACACCTCCTACAGTTTGCTAGTTAGCGTGCTTTGCTTTGTGATTGGTCACTGGGAGGTACACATGGAGCATAATCATGCAAGCATAACTGCTGGAAGTCTGTCAAATATATTCCTGGCACAATAATGGGTTTCAGCTTCTGTAGAAGTTTAAAAATTTTTACATTTTTGGCATTCACTTTCTGTAAACCACATCCTGTTTTCTGCATACTTTATTCTTCTGAAATTCCCCCAAATCTTTGCAAATTTGCACATACCCTGTTTCCCCGAAAATAAGCCCTAGTAGGATTTTTCAGGATGCTCATAATATAAGCCCTAACCCCAAAATAAGCCCAAGTTAGATGAAACCCGGCCCTCCACCCTTGTGCAGCAACCAGAACAAGATGACATGACTGTATTTGAATAAATGTAGATTGTTGTACATAAAAAAACATCCCCTGAAAATAAGCCCTAATGTATTTTTGGAGCAAAAATTAATATAAGGCCCTGTCTTATTTTCAGGGAAACACGGTACAGTATTTCGTGCAATGTGTTCTTTTCCCAAACACAAAACTCTTTTCCACCGCTACTTTTTCACTCATCAGCAGCCACCATCCCACAAATGTAACCCCAGAAAGGATTAAGATCTTGGATGGGGGGGAGGGAAATCACCTCCCCTATTTTCGCAATGACAAGAAGGTGGGGCAGACAAGTGGAACCACTGCATGGTTGTAAGAAAAGCCTTCACCCTCCTCACCCCAGTCCTGTTTTCCTGTTAAATTCATCCTCTCTCTTCATGATGGGGCCAAAACAGAAATGCCCTCCATGGTCACCAATGGAAATTTTTCAAGCAAAACAGATTACAGTCTCTCTCTGACTAAGGTTTTCTGAAAACAATCCTTCCCTCATGACTTTAAAGCTTCTTTCGCCTCTTCTCTGCTTTCGATTCTTCTTGGACTTCGAGAGCCTCTCCTTAAAATTCTGCTGCATAAAAATGTTCAGCCGTGTGAAGATTTTATTCATATTGTTGCACGAAGCCCACTCAAGGGCCTCCTGGACTCATTGGCTGGGTTAGCTTTACATGTCCTAAAGCCAGTCATGAAAACTGTCTCCTTCTGGAGAGAGAAGTAGTAGTGTCGCATTTGATTTTTTTTTTAACATTCACTTGCCAGCAAATTTAGGAAAAAAAACATCCAGGCAATGTATTCACAGCAATGAATACCAAGATTCGGCAATACATTTATATTAAGCCACTTAAAGGTTACATATAAGATATGCCTCTGACTTCTCCGAAACGCTTCACTAGGCAAGGATGTCGTAATGGCAGAAGCAAGGAACTCCAGGTTTCCTTAGGAAATGCATTTCTTCAGCCAGCTAACTAAGAAGGCTCCTTCTCTTATCATCATCATGTTCCATCAAAATCAATTCTGAGTTATGGTGAGCCTTTCCAGGGTTTTCTAGATAGGGAATACACCAAAGTACAGTGGTGCCCCGCATAGCGACAATAATCTGTTCCAGGAAAATCGTCGCTATCCGGAATCGTCGCTATACGGAACGAAAAACCCCATAGGAACGCATTAAACCCCATTTAATGCGTTCCTATGGGGGGAAAGCTCACCGCTATGCGGAAATCCTCCATCTGGCCGCCATTTTCGCCACCCGGTGAGGAAAGGGCACAAAAACGCTGCGGGCGGCCATTTTTCCCGGCGGCCATTTTGGAACTGCCGATCAGCTCTTTTTAAACATCGCAATGCGAAAATCCGTAAGCGAAACGCTTACCGATCATCGCAATGTGATTTTTGGCCATAAAAAACATCGCAATGCGATCGCTTTTACAATTGCAAAAACCAAATCGCTATGCGGATTCGTCGTTAACCGAGGCGCTCGCTATGCAGGGCACCAATGTAGTTTATCATTCCCTTCTTAGGGTGCCTTGGGACTGTACAGCTTGCTCCAGGCTACACAGGCCGGTTCTTCTCCCAGGAGGCACGGGGAGGACTTCAACTGTCCACATCTGGCTACACTGAGCCATCTAACCAGCAATCTCTTTTAATCAATTGTCAAGTCGTATTCATTGCAACCCTTAGAAGGTGGTCTTCAAAAACAACTCGAGAGTCAGGGAAGGTACATCTTTGAGAAGACACTCTAGATCAAAAGTGGGGTGGAGGACTGACCCTCCTGGCGTCTTTCAGCCAACCAGATTCCTTTCCCGTCATTTCATGGTGTCTCTCTCTAAAGTTTAAATTACACTAAATAAGAGCTTTAAGCTAAGATGTGCCTTGTGTGCCACCAAGCTGAGCTCAGCTCTAGAAGAATTTCCAAAGCATGTGAGATACTTAAGGTGTGGTTCTCCCAGCTCCCAATGCATTTGCGGGTCTGCATGGGATTTGAACCCGTGTCTCCTAGGTCTGACACTCTAACACTGGAACTGGGTATTTCAAGAAGATGAAGCACTTAGCCAAAAGTCTGAGTCCCCCTCCACCCACCACTGTACCTCTTGGGAGAAAAGCCAGCCTATGTAGCCTTGGGCCAGCTGCACAGTCCAGGGGCCCCCTCAGAGGAAAGGAATGGAAAACCTCTAAGTAGGAATCAAGTTGATAGAACGTAATTGTTAAACTGAATACCCAGCATGGCATAGTGGACAGAGCGATGGAGATGAGGACTCAGGAGGCCTGAGATGAAAGCTCCCTGGGGGGTGGGGGGAGTTGAATTGGTAAAACTACTCCTTAAACATTTCACTTACTTTGAAAACTCTTAGGTTCTTCTGCAAGTCATTTCTGGCTTGATAGCTCACAACAACAACTATTAAGCTAGAACGTGCTGGAATTTTCAGTCCTACCCTTCTGCCCCTGGTTCGCCAAAATGGGGTCTCCAAAACGTCTCTGAAATTGAATTTGGCCTTTGGGTTGAAAGACACTACCCAACACTGCTTTAAGATGAGCCTTCCTTAACCTTGTTGCCCTCCAGATGTGTTGGACAAGAAATGATACTGGCAGGGTGCAACGGTAAGAAGAAATGCCTGCTTTAGGGACACTCGTCCAGGTAGCTATGCCTTTAAAGGGGAACAGCACCTGGCCCATGGATTCAAAAGTAGTTGGGTCAATGAGAGACACTGGAGTACTTCCACCATTCAGTCCTACAATTCCCTTATCTCCCCGTCATTGGCCAAGGTGGCTTCTGGGAACTGTAGTCCAAAACAACTGGAAGTCCAGACAGTTGTCCCCAACCACTGCCTTATACGTTCCTAGCTCATCATGAGATGTTGCCTGCTACAGACCACATAGGCTACAGGAAGGCCTTACCTATTGGTGCATTTGGCTCACAAGGACACTCTGGGTAAGTAACCATAGTTGTCATTGTGCCACGGTAATCAAAACTCAATTTCAGGGATGAGGCATACGCCTGAAAGCCTGAGCAATCATCATCGCTGTAGATCTGAAATGAGTAAGAAAGACATGTCATTCCTTGCATCACTAGGTTCAGCCCAGTGCACAGAAAGGCAGCCCTCAGATGCTGTTGGGCATGCAAACCCATTATCCCCTACATCCCTGCTGAACTGGCCATTGCTAATGGGAGTTGCAGGCCAAGAACCCCTGAAGGGTCACTTCTTTCCAACCATGGGTCAAATTGTTCTGGAGCCAGGACGACAGATAAATAGCTGCTAAACCACAATGCAATACATATCAACTGCAAATTTCAGGAGCTTTATCAGGAACTTGCTCCCAATAAATTCAGAAAGCCTTAAGGGGTTTGGAAAAGAAAGCATTTCACTAAAGCTCAAGGAAACACATAAATCATCAGAAAAAGGGACAGAGAGCATACTCATGGGAGCAATTTGTTGGAATTTTTACAACCTTGTAGGCTGCCTGTGGTTTGATTGGATGGGAGGGTTTGTCAATCTATCCAGCACTAACCAATTGTTTCCTCCTGCTTCTAAATTCAAATAGAGCCCTGCTTCTCTGCTGAGTGTTCCTTTCCCTCTCTTTATAGTCTGTTATGCCAGGTTGTTTTGTTTGCCGTTGATTTGTTCACAACTGTTAAGGAATGAAACATTTTTATTTTCTCCTACAAATATCTCAGAATGAGTTATTGAGACTAAGTACCAGTTCATGAAAAAGGGGTGGACTATCTAGGGAACTTGTATCTATTATAATCTGTGTGATTGTTTTTACTTCTACCACGCATAGCAAAAAGAGAATTTGACCAGAAATTCACAACTCTGCAACACAATTCGCATCATTTGGAGAACTAGTCAGATAAGTTCACTGCATTTATGTACTTTCTGTGAGATGAGGAACCTTTTGGCCCTCCCACTGTTCTGAATTTCAGCTAGTCCAAAACATCTGGAAAACCAAAGGTTCCTCTACTCTGTTTTAAGGAGAGCAAATAAAACACCAGAAGTTCAGCTGTGGTGGGCCTGGTGCTAATAGCTTATGTGTAAAAGAAAAACACAAAATAGTTTCTTTTGATCAGGTTCATGTCCACCTGTGGGGGCAAATTCTACTTTTAAAGGGACACGTCAACTGGCTCTTCCAAATTCTCCCATAATTCATTTACAAATCTCCAGAGCCCAGCTCACGTTTCATACTTAGAAACAGACTCCACCCCAAGTCATCATTTTTAACAAGTTACAGTGGTGCCCCGCGTAACAATCGCTTCGTTTAACGACGAATCCACATAGCGATGAGGCTTTTGCGTTTCCATTGCGAAATTTTAAATGGTAAAACATCGCTTTGCGATGATCAGTAAGCGTTTCGCTTACTGATTTTCGCATAGCGATGTTTTTAAAACAGCTGATTGGTGGTTCCAAAATGGCCACCGGGTAAATAAAATGGCCGCCCTCTGTGTTTTTGCCCGGATTCCTCACTTACCGGGCAGCAAAAATGGCGGCCGCATGGAGGATTTTCGCAGAACGGTGAGTTTTTTGCCCACAGGAACGCATTAAGCGTGTTTTAATGCATTCCTATGGGCTTCTTTGTTCCGCATAGCGACGAATCCGTATAGCGATGATTTTTTCAGAACGGATTATCGTCGCTATGCAGGGCACCACTGTATATTTATTTCCTGCCTTACCACCAACAAATTCAAGGGACTGTACATCGTCTACTCTGCCCTGACCACACAGGGGTGCTGTTAGACAGGGTGAGAGATTAACTGGCATCCAGTAAGGTGCACAAGGAATTTGATGGGTCTACTACTCAGATTTCTGAAGACTCCGCCACACATTCTGCCACACAAGCAGTGGCTGGTAGACCTCAGTATCTTAATGGAAAACAGATCTTGCAGGCTTTGAAGCCCTCCTGCTGTGCAGCTATAGCACACACACTCACCCGAGACTTCAGGGCTCGCTTGCTGATGTACAGCTTTAACCCCATCCTTGTGTTGACACTGATTCCATTGGTTTGCAGGTGGTGGAGTGGAATGTCCTTGTTGTCTAGCGTAGCAGCAGTCAACGTTGCTGGGAAACGTGGGATGGTAATCGTCATGTGTGTCGAGTTGCAGGTTGCTGGGTCTGAAGAGTATCAAAGAGATTCAGGGTCTGCGATTTAGATCTGTTTGGCTGAAGAGTTCTAAGTGGGGAATCCGATTCCACACTGTGCCTCCCGGAGATGGGAATCCGATTCCACACTGTGCCTCCCGGGAGATTAACCAGCCTGTGTAGCCTTGGGGCAAGCTGAACAGCCCTAGAGTGCCCCCACCCGAAAAAATGAATGATAAACCACTTCTGAGTATCCTCTACCTAGAAAACACTGGAAATGGTTGCCCTAAATGGAAACTGATTTCATGGCATAACCCGAAAAAATGAATGATAAACCACTTCTCAGTATCCTCTACCTAGAAAACACTGAAAATGTTGCCCTAAATGGGAACTGATTTCATGGCATGCAATTATTATTTAGGGTTTTTCCAAGAAGCCATTTTTCCAAGATGCTGCAGCCCCACATAATGGTGGACAAAACCTTTAAATAGCGACTCAAGCTACCCCTCACCTCTTGGGCAAGTGTATGGATCCGAATTCCAGGTGAACCCACTAGGATATGCTTTGCATATGATCTGCATTTGGATGTATTTCAATGCAGATCTGGGCTTTAAATTGTGATTGAAAGGGGGTAGAGCACACCCCTGGCACACAGGTAGACCTGGCTTCAATTCCCAACATCTCCAGGAAGGGCTAAGAAATCTCTTGGCTGAGATTCGAGAGAAGGCCAGTAGGAAATACCAGTCTGGAAAGACCAACTGACTCAGTAAAATAGTAGCTTCTAACATACAGGAATATATAGAAGAGAATAGAGTTGTCCACATATTTTAACTGCATTAAGAAAAAAATCCACAGGTTAAAAGAGGCATTATTACGGCCAAGAGATGTTGATAGCAGCTGACTAAGGGCTTACGGGAAAAGCGTGCAAGGCTCATCCTGCCCACATTTTTACCTGGGACACAGATCATTCTTGTTTCCACAGTCAGGCGCTGTTCAGGAGGCCCATAGGTCAGCTTGACCGCCAAAGTGTACAGCACTCGGCCATCTTGCTGCAACACAAATGCAACACACACTCTTGACATGGCTAGAGGCAATAAAACATCGGCTGGCCATTTCCTTTCTCTCCTGATCCTCCCACCAATAAAGAAACTTGATTTCCAAATAGGCAATATGGAGGGGGAGGGGAGAGCTGACTGGAAATTTCCAAACTAGTGGTGAGGCATTTGAAAACAACCCCCCCCCAAACTGGTTGAAACCAACTCTCAGCTCACTTTAAGCAACAGGCTTGGTGAATCTCTGCCCTGACCATCTTGGGACCTGGATTCATAATTTTTCTATTTGTCCTGACCAGGGTTTCTGGGAGTTGCAGTTCAAAAGCATCCGAGTAACAAAGGTTAAGAACCACTGCTTTAAGCAACAGACTTGGTGAATCTCTGCCCTGACCATCTTTGGACCTGGATTCATAATTTTTCTATTCTCGGCCTGAGGAAGTGAACTTTATTCATGAAAGCTTGCACGGAAAGTTTGACCTCTTCTACATCAAGATTTCATACTAGCCTCTACCAGTGATTCCCAACCTTGGGGATCCAAGGTTGGGAACCACTGCTCTGTACACTATAAAACAGGCGTGCACAGATTTTCTGGGTTATATCCAGAGTATCTTGCCTCTGCACCCATCTGCATTCACCTAGCCCGTGGATTGCATGCCACTCTTACAAATATTTATCAAGTGTCTGTTCCCATGTTAGAAAGAAGCTTCAGCCTCTCAGCAACAAACGCAAATAACTTTCTTACGGCCAAAAGGTGGCTTTCATTTGTCTTAATTTATACATAACTGAAAGGAATTTACATCCTAAAAGAAGCAACTTATGGCAGCAAAACAGAGGCACAGGAAAGCAGATTTAAATACGATATTAGAGATGGGGAAAAGGCAGGACTTACTAGAATTCTAGAAGCTAACAGATTAGGACAATATTCCGATGACCTGGCTGGTCCTTGCAGAAGATCAACGGGTTGGAGTTGAAAGATCTCATCTAAAGCAGAGATTCCCAACTGTAGGTTCCCAGATGTTCTTGGACTGCAACTCCCAGAAGCCTTCCCCACTAGCTCTGTTGGCCAGGATTTCTGGGAGTTGTAGTCCAAGAACATCTGGGGACCCAAGGTTGAGAACCACTGTTCTAAAGCAATGCTTCTCAATCTTTGGCCCACCAGCTTTTTGGACTTCAACAACCAGAAGCCCTAGCCATCATAACCACGGACTGTGGGAGTGGAAGTCCAAAACAACTGGAAGGGTCAAAGAGGAAGAACGGAATGCCCTCAACTCAAAACAGAAAGCCCTCTGTAAAGGAATAATTGAGAACTCTGACAAGCGCCTTATCCCTTCCCTTGCAACCTGCTGGATGATGAAGAAAAGAAGAGGCAGAAAGACAACAGGTGCCCAAACGATTTTGAAGGAATCTGACTGGCCACAAGAGACTTGGTGAGGTGATTCTTCTGGACTCATAGGTCAAAGTAAAGGCATGGCATAGATCAGAGCATGAAGAAGGCTTTGCTCTTCCAAGAACACCAGTTGCTCCTTAACTTCCTCATACCTGGTATGTCGTAACTCCTGCAGCATTAAATGGGGCTCTGAAGACAATAAGATTGCCATCCGTTAGGAAGGTGTAGCCCTGTTGCATGGCTTGTCTGAGGCTTAACCTGTGCGTCTGCGTCCCATCATCGATTGACACAACCCACTCCATCCGAGATTCTGCCGTCTGCAATGCAGAACACAGTCATACACGTACTCGTATCTGGAATCATGAGATGCTCACACAGCTTATACACATGACATTTTTGAACTTCTCTCTGAAACCACTGCCAGCATCACCATACAGGCTGAACAATTTCAGGCGCCGTAGTCCAAAAATAAGAACTTCCTGGATGCTTATACTACATAGCCTATCATAATAGGCTAATAATAATAATGTACAGTGGTGCCTCGCATAACGAGTGCACCGTTGAACGATGAATCCACATTGCAATGCGGATTTCCCCATCGCTAATGCGAGGGCATGCTCGCATTACGATGGAACAGCTGTTCGGTGGTTCCAAAATGGCCGCCGGACACCCAAAATGGCCACCGGAACACAAAAAATGGCGCCAGGACACCCAAAATGGCCACCGGAACACCCAAAATGGCCGCCAGAACATGGGAAAACATTGGAGAATGGTGAGTTTTGGGCCCATTTGGGGCATAACGATGTTACGGATTAACCTCGCTATGTGGGGCACCACTGTATATCAAGCCAATTCTGACTTATGGCAACCCTTTTCAGGGTTTTCTAGATAAGGAGTATTCAGAAGGGTTCACCATTCCATTCTTCTGAGGGCTTCTTGGGACTGTGCAGCTTGCCCAAAGCTACACAGGCTGGCTCTACTCACAGGAAGCCCAGTGGGGATTCAAACTCCAAACCTTTGACTCTGCAACCAGATACCTAAAGCACTAAAGCTATCAAGCGAGTACTTTCACAGGCTACCATCTCCAAATTACAGCTTCAGCATTTAAAAAAATCCAAATAATTTTATTTTAAATGGAGGAACCTTACTACTCATGCAGAAAGTGTTAGATTCAAGTGCTTATAAACAGAATGCAAATTGAAAACGCCATCTGGCCCATTTTGTATCTTTCTCACACACACATTTTACACTTGTGAAATATATAGCACCACAGGAGGCTTTTTCAATATGCAGTCAGCAAAACATTCCTGTTCAACCCAGCTGAGATGTTTTAATCAAGTAACCACTCCACTAGGAGAAAAAAAAAGGGGGGGGTCAGAACTTGAAAAAGTTTATTTCTTTTGTCTGACTACAATCTACATAATTTCTCCACCAAGCTGCCATGGCTGATGATTTACCAATCTACCCCTGAATTGGCCACCTTATTTTCAAACTGGGAGTAAGTTAAACCTAATGCCAGCCTAAATAATGGTGAGGTACAACTGGAGTTACAGGTCAACAACATCTGGAAAAGTCCATGACTCTATGACATTATTGTGAAATAAAAACCAGTGATGGGGTTCTTGAGGCGGAACATTTTCCCAATTCTGAGTAAGGGCCTACATTCATATACAGTGGTGCCCCGCATAACAGGCCCTCCGTTTAACGATGAATCCGCATAGCGATTACGTTTTTGTGATCGCTTTTGCGATTGCATAACGATGTTTTAAATGGTAAAACATCGCTTTGCGACGACTGGTAAGCTGTTTCGCTTACTGATTTCCGCATAGCGATGTTTTGAGAACAGCTGATCGGCGGTTCCAAAATGGCCACCAGGTAAAAAAAATGGCCACCCACTGTGTTTTCGCGCCCCTTCCTCGCTTACCGGGCAGCAAAAATGGCGACCGTATGGAGGCTCTTCACATAACAATGAGTTTTTCACCCATAGGAACGCATTAAACATGTTTTAATGCATTTCTATGGGCTTTTATGTTCCGTATGGTGACAATTCCACATAGCGATGATTTTTCCGGAACAGATTATCGTTGCTATGCGGGGCACCACTGTACATACATACACACACCTTTGTAGTGAATAGCACACCTTCAAGGGCAAATGCCTGGTGGGCAGAGAGGGTTCTTGGAAAATTCATCTTTTGGTGCATAACATCCAGAATCCTCCCCAAGCTAGCATGGAAATACTGGACAGAAGATGTCAGAAAGCTGTAGTAACAAAACATCACTTTTTCAAGCTTCAAGCAAACGAGGGGAAATATTTTAGATTGGAAACTGGTCCTCGGTTAAGTTTCTTTTTTCAAAAGCTCAAAGATTTCATTTCTCCCAGCTACGACAAGAAAAACTTTTAGGAACACATTAAAAGTGGATCACAACATATTTGCCAACTCCTAGGCTTCAAGCAAGGAGTTGGTTAACGTGTAACACTTTTAATATGTCTGTAAAATATTTTCTTGTCTTAAATGGAAAAATAAAAACGTTGAGATTTGAAGGGGGGGAACTGTATTAGTCAACTCCTAGAGTTCAGCAAGGTTGACTGGACAGCTCAATGAATTAAGGACAGGTTGAGAGTTTCATTTCCCCACTGTGTCTTCTCAAGAGACAAGCTTTTGAAAAATCAAATTAGATTTTGGACATCAATCAATATTTTTGCTCAAGTACTGCTTGCTGGCTACAAAAGTGCACACTGGCCTGGTATATCTTGCCTTTAAGACTTGCAAGAAAAACAGAAGCTACGAAAGAATGCTACATATTTTCAAACACAGCTACATACCGCATATTCATCATGGAAGCTGGGAATGAGTCTCGGGAAGGCAACCTGCATGAGATTAAGAAAAGGCATTTTAGTATTAACCAGCTCCTTACCGAGCACAGAAACCCTCCATGACCTTAACAAAAGTGATGCTCCAATTTCAATGGTATCGAAGATTTTCATTTTTGTGAACTTACATCCCACCTCTCCACCAGAAGGGGCACCGCATGGGCAGGGAACAATAATTAATCAGTGTGGTAAAAGAGTGAGACGGTTGATGTCCGACTCCAGTGATCCACATTCTAGGCACAATGAAGCCATGCAACTCACCGAGTGGCTTCTTACCCTGGCCTACCTGGCAGAGGAGAGACCATTGTATGCCACTTCATATTTATGGGAGGAAAAGTGGGATGGAAATGCAACTTATACATGTGCAAAATACAAGGTTCAAACCTATGCCACTTCATATTTATGGGAGGAAAAGGGGGATAGAAATGCAACTTATACATGTGCAAAATATGTTAAAACTAGATGTTGACTTTTTAAAGTTACAATATAAAACCTAACAGATAAGAAGCACAATAAGATTGAGAGACAGTACTGCCCACCTGAAGAAGATCATGCAGGAGGCAACACCATGCAAGACTCAGCACCTAACCACAGTCTCTTTGAGACATCCATTGATCACATTCACACACTTCAGGAAACTGTTCTACTGCCCCGTCATAGCCTTAAAGTGGTCAGCTTAAACACAAGCCGGAGGTTAGCTGCACTGTGTGACTGCAATCAAGATGGATAACTCAGCCAACCCATAGGAGGACTTTTCTAGTTTCCTTTTCCGGTCAACCACCAGCTATAACGAGAGTACTTTGTACTTACAGCCATGAAGTCTTTGGTGCAGTTCGTAGCACTGATGAAGGTGCTAGGGAGAGAGGGCTCATCTGCTTGGACCACCTCACAGTTGACCTCATAGATTTCTTCTTCCAAGCCCCATGTTACCGTGTCGTTGAACTGCACTTGAAACCTCAGATGATGCCTCTTATGCTGTTTGCAGAAAAAGTATTTCAAGATACCATGTATCATACCCTTGAAGATTTAGTCAGATCTCTCAAAATCCTGGTGACACAGGCTGTTTCCCCTGAGGCTTTCAACACCTGTCGTTGGCCTTCACTAGAGAAATTAATTGAGTTAGAATATTGCCAACCTGAAGACAACATAGCAGACATATTGACTAAGCCTTTATGTACACAGAAGCATGACAAATGTATAAATAAGTTGGGAATGTGTTATGTCCAGGCATAAAAAATTAGGAGGGGTGTCAGAATATAGAAATGTTGTAGGCCTGAACATGTATAAGTGTATCATTAACGAGCTGCCATTGTGCACAGATGTGAGAATGCTGAATCACTCTGGAGATGATGCAATGTCTTGAAACCAGAAGAAGACCAGGTGCAAAAGGATGAAGTCATCTGTCTTCTAATTGGACAAAATATGCCATGTACATGTATATAAGTGGACTGTGTCTTTGTGTCTTCCTCTTCCTCTTCCACCACTTGCTGCCATGCATGCTGTCCGATTGTATAAAGAGTTCCTGCCATGCTGTTGAGATGCCTGCCTGTAAATAACTGTAAATACTTGTAAATACAACCATCTTGCAACAAAAGAAGAACTTGTAAGTGTCTTCAATAACTCTGCGTATTTCTACTGTCGCCAAATCCTGACAGATCTTTCGCGTGGCCATGTTGAGCTTTCCAAAGTCCTGCTCCATTATTTTTTTTAAAAAAAGGTACCAAGCTAAAGTACAGAAAAGGGAAGCTGGGTGAACCGAGAGGGTGTCATGCATTCCTCCTTTAAGAGATATTTGGTTAGCCAAGTTGGAAAAAAGTGACATTGGCAGGGAAGGGTCTGGAGACCAAGTTCTGTGAGGAACAATTGAGGGAACTGCATACATTTGGCCTGAGAAAGATTGGAAGATGATAGAGCAGTTATATTTGAATTTCTAACCTCCCTCAATCTTTATCAGGCCAAACGTATTCAGCTCCCTCAAATATTGGAAAGGCCATCATATAGAAGATGGAACACGACCCTTTTCTGCAGCTTTAAAAGACAGGACCCAAACAAATGGATTTAAATCATAAGGAAAGAGATTTTGACCAAGTTGCTTTCAAAAGGAGCTCATTAAAAAAAACAGCCTTTGAATGATATTCTTTGCTACCAGTTCTCATCGCTTTTTGCAGGAAGTCAATTCTTGATTGAACAAGCACAGGATTAATACATCAGCCCCAAAGGATGTTCTTTCGAAGAATGGCACCCACCTCCTCTTTTGTGCAGTTCACATACACCGCAGTCAGCACTTGCTTTTCATAGTCCAGGTGATAGTGACAATCTTCCATTTCTTCGCCATTGGTATCTAAAGAGATAAAGCCTTCTTGTTACTCGGATGTTTTTGAACGGCAACTCCCAGAAACCCCAGTCAGCACAGCTGGTAGTGAAGGCTTCTGGGAGTTGAAGTCCAAAACTCCTGAGTAACCCAAGGTTAAGAACCAGTGAGCTAGAAGACTAGTTGAGAACATCAGCTAATTCAGCTAGAGCCAGGAAGTGGCGGATCCACAGTAACAGGTAATACACACCAAGAATTTCCACTTGCCAGGATGTTGAGTTCGCCAATTCCTTGGGAAACCAGACTTGCACCTTATCCTCATGGCAAGATGTTTTACCTGGAAGAGGAAACAGCATCAAGAACCCAGTCTCGGGTGTAAATCTTGTAGATCAAATAAAAGGAACTTCCAGGATTTGTGCTCCACAACTTGATTCTCTGCCCATAATAAACAGCTATATATTGCAAACTCAGTTTTCATGAATGCTAGCCCTTACTTGAGCTGGGTTAGTTATCTGGCTGTGGAGCCAGAGGTTGGGAGTTTGATTTGCACACTGTGCCTCCTGTACAGCCAGGCTGCGGGGCCTTGGGTCACACACAGTATGGTAAAGACTGATCTGGCTGTGGAGCCAGAGGTTGGGAGTTTGATTTGCCCACTGCACCTCCTGTGTGTAGAGCCAGGCTGTGGGGCCTTGGGTCACACACAGTGTGGTAAAGACTAAAACATGCTCAATGAGAAGAGAAACTTGAATCTTATGGAGAAATCCAGAAGTGTGGAAGGAAGATGAGATGGGCGTACCCTGGAAAAGAGCAGTTATCAGGAACGGAGCCAGAGGTTGGGAGTTTGATTTGCCCACTGCACCTCCTGTGTGTAGAGCCAGGCTGTGGGGCCTTGGGTCACACACAGTGTGGTAAAGACTAAAACATGCTCAATGAGAAGAGAAACTTGAATCTTATGGAGAAATCCAGAAGTGTGGAAGGAAGATGAGATGGGCGTACCCTGGAAAAGAGCAGTTATCAGGAACTCCTGAAAGGAACACTCTGCATTCTGGTGCAAACACTTGTTCTTATATCGCTACCATACTGTGGCAGAGAAATACTGGAAAGATGCATACAATATGCAAACTTGCATACTATTGGATCACTTTTTATATCTGTCAACAACTATCCAATGGGTTGACCCAGGAACCCTGAAATGTCTCTCTCCCCTTGATACATACGTAGGTACCAGTAAGGCAGAAGCAAACATCCTGAAATGTCTCTCTCCCCTTGATACATAGGTACCAGTAAGGCAGAAGCAAACAGTCTAACTTATTTACATGAGGTCAAATTGCATCTAACTTATGACCTTAATAAAATTTTCAATATAAGCAAGATATTCAAAAAGTGGTTTTACCAGTTCCAAACCCACCCCAGTGAGCCTCTATAGTCCACCACTCTATTTACTACACTATTTGTTGCTTCATAAACAGTTTTTCATAATGCTTTTACCTAACAATGTTCATAGAAGCGTAGTACAATCAAGTTGGAAGGAGCCTATACGGCCATTGAGTCCAACCCCCCTGCTCAATGCAGGAAAGATCTGACAGCCGGCTGTCCAACTTTCCCTTGAATGCCTCTAGGGTTGGAATGCTGACCACCACTCGAGGTAATTGGTTCCATTGTTGTACTGCTCTAACAGTTAAGTTTTTCTCAAGGCTAAACATGCTTGGTTTCCAGGCCCCTGATCATTGTTACCCTCCTCTGAACTTGTTCCATTTTGCTGGCATTCTTCTCAAGTTGCAGAGTCCATTAATATAGTGTCATTCTTTTTTAATATGTGAATAATTTATTGTTTTTAGCTTTTAATATTGTATTAGTGATATAATCTGCCTTGGGTTCTTTTTTTTAGCAGAAAGGTATGACAAAATATTTTTTTAAAATAAAATACACCATATTAGATACTTCTAACCTATTTAAGGTTCTTGAATGTAGCTGTTTGGTAATTATACTTTGATTTGCAGTGGTACAGGAACCACTGGCCCTACAGATGTTTCAGGCTCCATCACCCATCAGCCCCACCCATTATGACCCATGATAAGAACTTTCAGGGAATGTGCTCCAACCATCTGGAGCGGCAGAAGTTCCCTACAACACTGTACAGCTTTTCTACATCCGGTGCCTTCCAGATGTGTTCTTGGTTACAGACCCTTGATTGCTATTTGATGTGAATTGTGGCAAGAACTTGGAAAAGTTACTTTCCTCTGCTAGAGTTTCCCCCAAAATCCCCCAACCTAGGAAGTCAACAGCTCTTAGAGAAGTTACTTGTTTGACTATATCACCACTGGTCCAAAGGAGGATTCTAGGAGCTGTCAGTTAATAAAACAACTTATTCCAATTGTGATCCAGCACAAGAAGAGAATATCAAGTGGAGAGGGGGAAAGTTCTTAACCATTAGGGCAGTACGACAATGGAACCAATTACCTTGGGAGACTGGGAGTTCTCCAGCACTGGAGAGATTCAAGAGGTGCCATTTGACAGATGTAGCTTGAGTTTGATTCCTGCATTAAGCAGGAGGATGGACTCAATGGCTTTACAGGCCCCTTCCAACTCCACTATTCTATGAAAACAGAATGTTAAAAGCCGGTTACATCGGATTATTCTCTGAAAAACATGATAGTTGTTTTCTGGAAGACAACAAGGGCGCCCAGCTAAGAAAGAGACGGCTATGTTTGTGGCCAGCTCATCTAAGACTTCACAACTGCCTTACAGATGTGCTGAGGAGTGCTAGTTAGAAGCAAGGAAACACCTGGTACAAACTCAAGACCGTTCCGAAAGTCAAGATTGTTGCCGACTACATCCGTGCAGCTGTGGAAGGGTGCAGAAAACATCAAAACCAGCTTGATCTTGTTGGAAGATTTTGTGCAAGTATTTCACTAGCCCTTCTTTCACTGAATCACGCTCGCCCACCAATGCCACCCCAACTGGTCTCCGGCCACTCCGTTTCAAAAATTTCCACCTATGGGCTTCATACCATCTGACCAGGCAAAGAATCCTGGAGAACTCGGAAGCCTGCTGCATTTCGGTCAGTCCCAACCAAAAGTATCATCCCATATTGAAAATAAATGCACTTCCCTAGAAATGCAGATTTATAGCACAGCCAGGCAGCAATCCAACCTTTAAAAAAGGAAAGAAAAAAAATACACCTAATATGGCTCCTTTCCAGTACTTCTGATAAAAGGCAGGAGGGAGAAAAAAAGAGAGAAAAATAAATGTATTTAATATCCACCCCACCTTACCTGGATAATCTACAGCCACCGCTTCAAGAAAGCACCCAGTGAGGCAGGCAACCAAGAAAAACAACCTATGTACAAAATAAAAATAATCATTATTTTTTTTTTAAAAAAAGGACAGTCTTCTCTCCGTCCCTTCCGCGGAACTTGAATTTACCGTGTATTACAAAAACCGCAAGCCCTCTTTAACCACATCCCGGACAATCAAGACAGAGGAAAAGGATCCTATAAGATGTCAAAGGCAACCAAGAGCGTTTTTATACCAAGCGTGCCAGCGTCTTGACCGCGCACGCGCCGCGTTTTACCCATTCACACGTTCTCCGATTAGCACCTGGAGGGAATCAGCCGCTGGGCTTCCCACGTGCCCCGTATTGGAAGGGCGGGTTTCCGCGGCCGTAAAAGCGGCATCGAGTTGCGTCCCGTGGCCGCGTTCACACGTGCCGCTGGCGGGGGTTTAAGCAAGGCGCCGAGATGCTTCTAGGATCGCGCTGCGAGCTGCTCGGCGGAGCGTCCGCCGAGGCGCTGTTTTTTTTTTCCCCAAGCGCTTTTTAAACACCTTTTTGAATTCAAGGGAGTTCCGAGTAAGCTGATCTTGGATCGGGACGGCCCCGTTGCAAAGCATGTAATTTTAAAAAAATTATTAAAAATGTAATTTTAAAAAATATTTTAAAAAATAGAATAAAGTAATGTTCACACCCCCGCCTGCATTTTTCGTGGAAGCTGAGAAAAATACGTGTGCGATTACACCGCGTTCCCCCCCCCCATGCGAGGTATTTGTCTACTTCCAAGTAAAGGCCATTGAATGAATTTAGTGGGTCGTTTTCTCCAGGGCGTTTTTACAGGGAGTAACTTCAGAAGAGGGAGGATGAGTAGTTTGTGGGTGTTCCGTTTCGATTCCGTTCCTGTAATTGACATTCTCTCCTTCTTTCCCCATCCTCCACGCTGAGGTTTTTTTTCTCCCCCGTATTTTCCCAACACAGAAAAAAATCTAAAATGCAACAGGAAAGAAAAAAAAATAACGTTTTTCTTGTCTCCAGTGTGGATTCAAACCTATAGGATTCTCAGGGTAATCCTCTACCGTGGATCAGCTTGGTGATGGGCACATTTAGATTCAGGCACTTGCCTCTCGATTCTTCAGCAGTGAGGAGGCCAAAATGGTCAGGATCTCTCTCTCCCCCAGCGGGCCCCTCCCATGGATGTCAGACTCCACATCCTATTACCCACAGCAAAGTTAAGATGATGGGAATTGTAGCCCTGGGGCACACAGATGGGGTCCACATACTTAGATAGAAAATTTGGTAGGATAGAGAAGTACTGGTTAGCTCCGTGGTTTAAATATTCTTGGGGAGTTCAAATCCCCCACGGTGCCTCTTTGAGAGGGGCTGGACTGGATGATCTCGAGGGTCCCTTTCAGCTCTGCAATTATAAGATATGGAGGAGAATAACAATAAAAATCTGACTAATGACTTCCAGACTGTGTCCCTCTTTGTTGTTAAGGTGGACACTGAAGTGAGCTGCCTGTGAGACCATATTGCTTTCTGATGTCATTTTGTTTTCTTTCCTGAAAAAAAAAAATCTTACTTTTATTTTTCCGAGACGCTTAGAGCAGCATGTGTGGCTTTCCGTCCGCTCATTCTCACAACGACCCTGTAAGGTAGGCTGATCTGACCCAGTGAGCTTTCTGGGGCTATCTGAGAGTTTGCACTAGATAGAGAGTATACAGAAGTGGTTTATCATTCCCTTTTTCTGGGGCTGCCTTGGGGCTGTGCCGATTGCCCACGGCCACCCAGGTTGGCTCTTCTCCTAGAAATTGAACTCGCCACCTTTGGCTTTGCAGCCAGATCCCTAACTCACTGGCTCTCCAACCAGTCTCCTGACCCTAGGAGGGATGTGAGATGTTCAAGAAGTGGCCGGCCGTAGTGACTCTCTGATTGACTAGGGATTTGAACCCAGGTCTTCTGAGCCCTAATCTGAAAATATACACACTGGCCTCTCTCTAGTTTTTCCATAGTCTTCCTCCAGCATTGCAGATGTTTCCCTCATTTGATCAGGGATGGGAAAAGTTACTTTGCTAGCATTGCTAGCATTGAGAAAGGGGATTCTGGGACCTGTAATCCAAAAATTAACTTTTCCAAGCTCTGGATATCTCTCACTGTAATTATTTGGGGAGCAAACAGTAACAATGTCATTCTGGCTTTTTTCCAATTTAATTTCTTTTTTCTTCTCCTCCTCTTTCTGTTTACTTTAGAAAAGAAATACATGTCAAAGGCTAGCAGTAAACAACTTCTTATTTCTCAGATCTCAAAAAGGGGGCCCTCCCTTTCAGCATCCTTAAAAGGTAGCCCCAGTTGCCAGTTCATTTTGCATATGAATAAGGAAGAAACATTTGAAATGGTAATGAAAAGTTCTGGGACCCAGTGATGACACTCCGAATGGATTATTGCTTTCTTTTTTGTGTATGCAATGTACATTGTTCCATACTGTTTAAAATAGCTTTTTCCGGTTCTTAAGTTGCCATTTTTGATTGTTTTAATTTGCTTCGTGATGTTTTGTGAGGTGTACCTTGCCCCGAGATGCTTGGATTTGTGCCAGGACATAAATATTTTGATGGATTATGGTGATTTAAAAAGTAAAAATTAGAGCCCTGCCCCCCCCCAAAAAAAAGTTGCCAGGAAGAGCATGGAGATAAGGAGGAGATAATCCTGACTTACTTCCACCAGTTAGACAACGGGTAGGTGGAAGGAGCTGAAGAGCAGCTATCAGATATAATAGTCTTTATTAACCTTTGAACTGCAGGGCTGGAAGGGACCCTGTGGGTCATCCAGTCCAACCCCTGTCAAGGAACCTCAGGGCAGGAATCAAACTCCCAACCTCTGGCTCTGCGGTGAGAGACCTAACCCACTGAGCCATCCAACAGTTAATATGTGTATCTAAGAACTTGTGCCTTGATTTTGCTCTTTCCTTCCCTTTGTTTTCTTCTTCTTTTGTGTTATATGTATGAAGGTGGGGACTGACTTATTTTTAATGTTAACAAATGGCTTTGCAGCTGAGAGCAAGGGAGAATATTTTAATTAAAGTTATTAATAATGGCAAACAGGCCATAGGTTCCAGTGTGTGGTCTGGAGGGCCTCTTTCTTCATTTTCTTTCTTGTTTTTCCTTAAAATTCACCTGAGGCCTAAAGTTACAGGCCGCTTTCGAGCAGAACTATATGAGACTTGAGCTTTGCAATTAAAAAGTGATAAAATATTATCTCTCCAGTGACAGGTTCCTTCAAAGCCACAATGCCTGCAAACTCAATTTACAGAAGAAGCCCCTTGTTTACTTGCCAGTGGCAATCAGCAAGCAAAAGAAAGCGAATCTGCCATTTGTGGTACTTTGGAAAGGTTGTAATCAAATACCCTTTACCTCTTAAGGAGGGTCCACTTCTAATTTTAAAACTGGCATCAAATCTAAGCTAACTTTTAGCTTGGGTGTAAAAATGGCCACCCACCTCCTGATGGTTGTCTCACTCTCGCCATTGAGTCCAGAGTTTGGATAAGTTACTTTTCCATATCATAACTTCCAGGGTACCACATTTTGAGAGTTTCCATGATCTCTGGAAGCTATACAGTGGACCCTCGACTTACAGACGGCTCGACTTACAGACTTTTCGAGTTACAAACTTCTCTGACTGCAAAATTTAGATTCGACTTGCAGCCAGAGAATCGACTTACAGACCAGAAAAAAACGAAAATGGAATAAAAATAGAATAAAACCACTGGTTATGGGATTAATCGGTTTTCAGTGCATTGTAGGTCAATGGAGATTCGACTTACAGACTTTCCGACTTGCAGCCACCATTCCAATATGGATTAATTCCTTAAGTAGAGGGTCCACTGTAGTCCAAACAGTAACTTTTCCCAGCATTGGTAAGCATAGCTGATATGGACGTAGGAGAATGTGGTGTGACTTCAAAGGAAATGGGGATAAGAAAGCTATGGTTATTCCTGATAAATAGAGAAATTTGAATCGTTTGTGCGTGTGCCAGCGCATAAAACATGCACATCTCAGTGGAGAGGAAACCCCCTACCCTTTTATTTTTATTTTTTGAGTGAGAACTGTCAGGGCAATGGCAATCGGAAAATGCAAAGCAGTGAGTCACCAGCCTAACCTTCCAAATAATAACCGGTTACACAAAAAACCAGATAGTTCCCTTTGTAAACAGATGTAAGCTACCAACTTCAATGGGCTTATTCAGGAATTGAACCCATAAAAGACAGGGAGACTTGCTTTCCAGGAATCTTGCCTAACACTTGAGTTTGGGAGCACATGGAACAATGGTGCTGAGTTCAAAAACTTCATTTCAGACATGAATCCTTTGAAGTCCCCTGCTTTTCCCTTGAGGTTTTGCTTCTCTCATTTCACAGTGAAGTGAACTGGTCTTTAAAACATCTTTTCACTGGAAAAGAAAGACGGCGATTCTTTTCTTACGAGTTTGTGTGAGGCCGGACATAAGGATAAATAAACTCCTGAAAGGGAATTTTGGGTGAGTTTGTTTGATCTTTTCCCAAATGCCTGGGAGAAAATGCAAAGCAACTCATTAAGCTTCTTCCCCCCCCCCACTTCCTGGAATTAAAATCAGTCGGGACTGCTGCCATTGATCTTTAGCAGAAATGCAATCCTGGAGACAATTTCCATCTTATTTCAGTGGCTGGCAAGAGCACCACAGCGCATGCTCTTTTCCAAAAAGCCTATGAAGTTCCTTCAGACATTCCTTGGAATCTGTCAAATTTCAGCAACAAAAAGGAAATCCTTTTGTGGCACTTTTGAGACTAGCAAATTCGTTTTGGCAGGCTGTACAGCTTTTCTGCAGATCATGTCTGAGGAAGCCCGTTGCAGCCCAGGACGGTCTCGCACTGGGATAAATTTGGCAGTTGAAAAAAAAATATTGCAATGTTTTTGTTTTTGTGGAAAGTAAATTAAACACGTTTACCTTTCTCAAAACTGTCAGGTTTGGGCTCTTAAAATTCAATAGGCCCTACCTTTTCTGACTGGCTTTCAGTTTCGCCCCAGAACAAGGGAACAGCCAGAAGTGACATAGTTCAAAGATGCCTTCGTCAGTCACTGCACAGATCATTGGAACTTGTGAAATCTGAAGAGGAGGTGCTTATTATAATCCCTACAGTCATGTTCTGAAGCAAAGTCCAAACATTCAGGCAGTTATGCTGATCTATATCAGCAAATCTGTTCCGGTGTTTTTCATCTTCCAGGAGCAGGTCTTTTATAAAGCTAATGCATCTTAACTGCCCATCCAGTTAAGTGATTCCAAATGCTTTGAATTACAACAGAAATAGTTTATGAAACTACATTATACTTTAGAAAAGATACAGAAACACTGCTACTGTGAGAATGACAGTGATGTACTTTAGAAAAGATACAGAAACACTGCTATACATCAGCTACTGTGAGAATGACAGTGATAGAACAGGGAAGCTCAGTGGGATCACAGATGATGGCAGTGTCTTTGGTAATAAATAAAGCCTCTTGCTTCAGTCCTGCAAACCCAGGTTCCACTGCATTTCCATTGCAGGGGCTTCCCACGCTAATATTTGCAATGAATTTGTGCAATTAATTTGCAATGGTTTTGTGGAAGGACAGGAAGTGTTGGGAATAGCAGAGTCTGAGTCGACAAGGTCTCCCTCCTTGTTGGTGTGCCGTCTCTTCGCACACCCTAGAAGTTGGAAGGAGTGCCGTTAGAAAGCCCGGGAAGTGAGCAATTGCTGAGTCTGGCAATTCCGGCGGGAAGTGGAGAGAAAAGAGCCCAACGAAAAGGAAAGGGGTCTAATGGAAGGAAGCCAGATAGAGACAGTGATGGTGGAGCGGAGGCTATTACCGACTTGCTTCGAAGGAAGAGAAAGTCTTACCTGAAGGTTGTTGTTGTTGTTGTTTAGTCATGTCCAACTCTTCGTGACCCTATGGACCAGAGCACACCAGGCCCTCCTGTCTTCCACTGCTTCCCGGATTTGGGTCAAATTCATATTGGTAGCTACCTGAAGGGTTAGGTACGTATAATCAAAAGAGACCCATGGACTGGAGAATCGGGGGCAGATGAAGTTAGCTAAGGAAGTTGCTCAAAGCGAGTGGAAGAGCTGGACCCCTTACTGGGAAGAGGTGGATGAGAGAGGGAGTCAGAGAAGGAGAAGAGAGGTAAGAAACGGACAGAACCAACAATGGCTTGTCTACTCTGGTGGGTCTCAGTACAATCAGGTTCCCACCCAAGCCGCAATGAGCCCCAGGACTGAAAGGGCAGGAAACGCCTGGGTCTATGACCCCCCCAAACCCTTAAAAATGGATATGGACCCTGAGACTCTGGGAAGGGTTAGCCCTAAAGTTGAGCAGTTCACTTGGCCTCAAATAGATGGGCCACTCCCTACATCTGATTAGTTGAACAGTTACCAAGCCAGCCTGGGAGGAAGAGGTGGTGTTCGACAACAGTTCAACAGTTGTGTTTGGAACAAATAAAGGAAGTTGAATTGAACAAAGAGCTGTCCGGGAGTGTGTCTGATAATAAAGGAGAAGGCGGGGACGGGACCCAGGATCGGATCGTACAGAGCATAGAAAAGTTACTTTAATGGATTATAAATTCCCAGCCCGTGGGATTACTGGATGGTAAATTCTGGGATCTTAGCCTGAAAAAAGTAACTTTTCCAAACTCTAGAAGCATCCTGGTTTACTTCACAGTGTGCAAACTGCAAAGTGGGTGCTGCTTTTAATTGTTATGTTGCAAAAAAAAAAAAAAAACAGGAGACCAACACATACAAATTAAAATGGCTATTAGTGCTTTGCTTCTTCAAATATAATAAAGAAAAGGTTATATGTGTGAAAGAGCCACCACAGCTAAAGGCGAAATACACTATAATTAAAAACGGGTTTGAAATTTGACAGTGTTTAGCAAAACAAAAGGCCATCCTAATGAACCAAAGGTCACCCTGAATGCTGTTCAGATGGGTTTTAACAATAACTGTGTGCTGTCAAATTGGCTTGGACTTCCAGCAGCCCTTTACAGCATTTTCTGGGTGTAGGGTGTTCAGAAGTGGTTTATCGGTGTTTTCTTCTGGAGGCGCCCAGAGACCACTCCTATACAGACTGGCTTTTCTCCTGGAAGACAAAGCATGGAAATTGAACTCCCAACCCCATGCGCCACAGCCAGGTACTAAATGCACTGAGAGCCAAATTCCAACCTTTGGTATTTTTAAAGGGGGAAATGTTTCTATTTAATCCTTAGGTATTGTTTCGCTTCTGTATCTATTATGTGCAGTCAACTTGGCGCCAATCTATAGCAGCCCAATGAGGGCTTTCAAGGTGGGTGAGATATTTAAGGAGTGGTTTTACCAGGTAATTGCATGGTTGAGTGGGGATTCGAACCCAGGTCTCCTGAGTTCTAATCTGATTCTCTATCCACTCTGTCACACCAGGTATCCCTTTATATCTATAAATCTGTATTATTTCTAAATGAACAATAAATCAGGGCACCCTTCTACAATTCCGTGCAAGTCTGTTTCCTCTTTCACCTTTTCGGATGGTGTGTTTGTATTTGTTGGTGTACAGTTGGGCCCCTCGAGGCCTTCATCGAGCGAGGCAGGGAGTGGAGCACCAGCATCACAACTCCCAGACACAATTGCATCCCTCCAATGACTCCCCACAGTCTGATGGTGATTTTTCCCCGAGTAGTAACGTTCCCCATGTACTGTGCATAATAATGGTGTGTCTGTGTGAAATGTGAGCTATAGTGGGAATTATGGCAACCTCCGGGCATGTTGTGCTGCTGGCTGGCTGCCAATCAATACTTTCCCTCTCCCCATTCTGGGCTGGCATATAACCTACAGCCATTTACCCAGATTCCCCTTGTGCCCATGTCTGCCATCAGCTGGCTCAAACGCTATTTCAACCCAGCTCAAAGCCCTTGCTTGCCTCACCTCTGTGACATAATAAGGGCCCACCCTGTGACATCACAAGGCTCCGCCCCCACACTCTCTGGCAATGGGCCTCAGAGAAGGAGATATGCCAATCATCCGATGGAATGATCTAGCTCAGTGGTTCTTAACCTTTGTTACTCAGATGTTTTAGAACTGCAACTCCCAGATGCCCCAACCAGCACAGCTGGTGGTGAAGGCTTCTGGGAGTTGCAGTCCAAAATCACCTGAGTAACCCAAGGTTAAGAACCAGTGATTTCTAGCTTATTATTAGGCTGCAGCTCCTGTGGCTACCAAAGAGAGAGAGAGAGAGAAAGCAATGCCTCTCTATAGAGAGATGTACATTAAACATATACAAATATTTTTTTTGAGCCAGTTTCTGGAGAACGTGAGGCAAAGTGTCTGGGTTTGGATGCCCCACCCTTTATCACCTATTGGGCATACTGACTTTATACTCACATTTCATCAAAACGACACCCATCCCAATCTAGCGTGAATATCCAGAATTTCACTCGTCGTAATAACGGTGTATCCGTAATGTGGTCTGGCATCAACATGCAAATAAGGTGCTGGGGGACTGACCTTTGGTTCCTCGTTTCTGTCTTGCCTACGCTGGCACCTCTGCGATTATTAATTAACTTTCCTTCTCTTCAGAAGCATATGGCTGTCGGGTCTGGCTGTCTCCCATTGTGAAGAGATTCTGCCTCAGCCAGACCTCGCCGGGATAGGAAGATGTCCACCCGTTACCACCAGGCAGCAGCTGACAGCAACCTGGAGTTACTGAAGGAAGCCACCAGAAAAGATCTGAATACTTCGGACAGAGACCGGATGACACCCACCCTGTTGGCAGCTTACCATGGCAACCTCGAGGCTCTGGAAATCATTTGCCGACGAGGGTAAGCGTACAAACAGGCCATGGATACCGACTGTAATGTCTTTTTTATAAGTGATATCGTTGAGCTGAGGTCAATGAGACAAGTTGCCGTTGATTAACGTTTCTTAATTGGGGGCTGGGGGACCTTTATTAAAAGTCCCAACTTTATTTTCACTTCTGAGAAAATTGTGGGTGTGTATAAGAGAGAATTTATTGGTCATATCCTGTCCTCTATTCAGAGTTCTCAGGGCAAGGCAAATACCATAGAAACAATTTTAAAAGATGTTTAAAAAATTTTCAAACATATATTATGTCCATGTGTATATCTGTCCCTCTCTACCTATTCCAGAACTGTTGCCTTTAAAAAAAAACTACAATGCCCAGAACCTCTGGGAGTTGTAGTCCAGGGAAGTAACTTTTCCAAGTTCTGGGCAGGTAGAGAGGGAGAAAAACAAATATTCCCAAGCGCTGTGCTTCCCTTCTCATCTTTTTACATTGACTGAAAGAGACGTTGCAAGTTCCATGTTTATTTTTACAGGAGATTAGTCTCTCATGAATCAAATGTTTAGGGTTTTGTCCCACCTGGTGATGATGCCAAAAAGTATCTAGCAAGTGATGTGATGATGCTTCAGACACTTGTCTGCACTCCTTTCTCCTCCCATCCTTTCTTGCTTTGGGGAGTCAGAACCACACACAAATAGCAAAGAAGATATAAACTGCACCAAGATAATGATGAGGAGAAAAGAGAAAGATTACTATGGGAAGGAACGCTAGTGAAACAGGACGTCTGTGAAATTCAGAGGTTTCCATGGTTTCTGACCCCAGGAATTCAGTTTATGGAATCTAATCTTCATACAGTGTTGAAAAAGGAGAAAATACATCACACCCATTGACTCAGGATAACTGCCAGAAAATGCAGTTTACATTAAATTTCCAGATATTAATCTTTAAGTAGAAGCTAGTTTAGAAATAATAACTATAATTCTAATAGAAATAATAGAAATGTTTCCTTATGAAGATGATTAATCTTTAAGTAGAAGCTAGTTTAGAATTAATAACTATAATTCTAATAGAAATAATAAAAATGTTTCCTTTTGAAGATGCTGACCAAGGCCTAAATTGCTAATCCCAACTAAAGCAAGTCCATTCAGTCAACTGTCAAATGATAAATCAACATGAATCCCATTGATTAAGTGGTTCTACTCCAGCAGGGACTAGCCATTGGGTTTAGGCTTATATGGCTACTTAGCTGTCCAGTTGTGAAGTGTTGATGAGCAAATTTCAAACCCACCCGTCCCCAATACGTATTGGTTTGTGATCTTTCATCTTTTCGCACAGATGACTTCCAATAATGCATTTAGTCCTGCTTTTGTCACAGTTATCTGTGATTAAAATCCATTCAAAAAATCCCATTGATTAAGTGGTTCTACTCCAGCTGGGACTAGCCACTGGGTTTAGGCTTATATGGCTCCTTTGCTGTCCAGTTGTGAAGTGTTGATGAGCAAACTTCAAACCCACCCATCCCCAATACGCACATGTTTTGGTTTGTGATCTTTCAGCTGGAAAGCCTTTAAATGGGAGACTTTAGGTAGGGTTGAGGGCATAAAAGTTGAACCAAAGTATTATTGCATTTGATTTTGCTTTTCACACAGATGACTTCCAATAACACATTTAGTCCTGCTTTTGTCACAGTTGTCTGGGATTAAAATCCATTCAAGAAACAACAATTCTGTTGTGGATCTTATGAATCTCATTGTTTTATAACTGAAGTTTGGCCATGCTTTCCCTGGTCTTGTCTTCAGCTGGCAGTAATCTTTTTTTATTTTTGCTGGGGTTCAAAAATCAGCCTACAGTAGTCTTCTGGAAAGCTCTCACTTGGAAGATTTTACTTAAATTGGGTTGTCCTTCTGGGTGAAGGTCAATTAACAGATTAGTTTATTTACACATTTAGTGTCAGTTCAACCGCCCTGGTAAACTTTACAGAAGATCCAGATAGACAGGGTACATTGAGGTGATCAGAATGGATTGGGAAACAGTCCAGCTGCTCTGCCTCTTAGGCATCTTGCTTTGAACCCTAGCAAAATTATTTTTAAAACTCTGCTGCTGCCTGAGGCCATAGACAAGGTATTTCCCGAATCTGCAAGACAGAAGCTCTCCCACCAAGACTATACGGACTACCCAAAATCCACAAGGACTCAATCCCACTCAGGCCCATTGTAAGTGCCATCAGCTCCCCAACATATGAATTAGCCAAACACCTAGCGACCCTCCTACAGACCCACATTGGACAAACCTCATCCTACATCAAAGACTCAGGACATTTCATAAGCAAAATCAGCACCCTAAAATTCAACCCTGGGGACAGACTGATCAGCGTTGACGTAGTATCCCTGTTCATAAAGGACACCCTGACACTCATCCAGCAGATATTTCCAGAAGACATCAAGGCCCTTTTCCAGCTCTGCCTAACGACCAGCTATTTCCAGTGGGACAATGAATTCTATGAGCAGACAGATGGAGTGGCCATGGGCAGCCCCCTCAGCCCAGTTATTACCAAACTTCTACATGGAGCATTTGGAAAAACTTGCCCTGGCTTTGGCACCCCTCGCACCCACAGTCCGGTTCCGATATATGGATGACACCTTTGCAATTTGGAGTCATGGTGAAGAAAAATTGGAAGAATTTCTCAACCATCTCAACAGCATCCACCCAAATATACAATTCACCATGGAAAAAGAAATAGAGGGCCAACTCCCGTTCTTAGATGTCATGGTGCTACGCAAAACTGACCTCCGACTGGGACACAAGGTCTACAGAAAACCCACCCACACAGAGCGGTACCTACACAAAAACTCCAACCACCACCCACAGCAAAAAAGAGGCATAATCAAAACACTGGCAGACCGGGCAAATCGGAACTTGTTTACCTCTGGCTTTGCAATGTGGTGCCCGGTTTTATGTGCCATATTTTATTCTCAATAAACATGACCTTTAAACAGTGTGATGGCTTATCCTGAAGTTGCAGCTCTATTCCTCAGCGGTGGTGGAAATGAACACTGCTTTGTCGATGCAGCTAATAAAGAAGAAAAATTGTCTTTTTTTTATATACAGAGGGAGGCAATTCCTATCTCAAGGGTATATCCTTTCTTACTGCAAGGCATGCTCAGAGACTCACATAACAGAATGCTAACATCAAATGGAATGAAATTTAAATTGCTTGGGACCTGGATATTTAGTAGAGCATGTTTCCCTGCCTATACTTGTCTGATCGTTAAGATCGGCCGTGTGTGTGTGTGTGTATTTCTATATACCAACACTGGGAGCAATTTGCTATATAAAGGTGCAGGAGAGGACTTTGCTGGTTGTGACATCTCTGTTGTAGAGGCCCAACTGATGCCAACATTTCCTTTATTTCTGTGCCAATTTAGGCAGTCCCCCTGAACATTTAGACCCTAACGAGGTCATGACAGTTTCTAGTCTTTCACTTTGCGGGGCTTAACTTTGCTTTGCTGAACTGTTTTAAAGCGTTTGGAAGTATTGTAATAGTTTTAGGTTCGTTTAAGGTCTGTGTGTACAGTATATGAGAGAGAGAGAGAGAGAGAGAGAGAGAGAGAGAGAGAGACCGACTCAAAACTATGAAAAAAGGAACAGACAAACAGGACGAAAAGCTTGAATTAAGGGGGAAAGGGAAGGAAGGGAATGTTGATGGCAGGGGGGGTGGTTTTGAATCACTGCTGGCTACCTGGAGCCCAGGAGCTGTGCTGTCCATTGTTTACCAAAGTTACCTGGGTCTTCAGGATGACTGAAAAACTATCATCTCTGTTGCCGCTGCCATCCTCTTCCTCTTTTTCTATTCTTCCCCTTCACGTGTTCTCACACAGTGGTTGCCAACCTTGTTTCCCCAGATGTTTTTGGACTACAACTCCCAGAAATCCTGGCCAGCATAGTCAGTGGTGAGGTCTTCCGGGAGGTTTAGGCCCAAGAACATCTGGGCACCTAAGGTTGAGAACCACCGGCCTCACAGCCGTGGGAGGGACAGAGGCTGGAGGGGGGCACCAGAGGGGTGCTGACTGTACTTCTCCTCCCACCCCGAGCAGCAGGAGAATTTGCCTTGAAATCATGCCCCCTCACTCTGTCACAGACTGACCTACCTCAGAGGATTGGGGAGGCGATTCATGGATAGGGATGTTAACTCATTGGAGAAGCATTAGGTAACTAATAAAATAAACTCCGATCTGCCCCAGCCACGGATTGTACAAACCAACTAGGAATGTGAAAACATTCTTGGTCTGGGTTTCTCCACATCCCTCCTGCCTTCTTGTCCGGCTGGCAATCTGTATCAGGTGGTGAGGCTTCCTCAGCCAATTTTGCCATCAATAAAGGCATGTGAATGCTAGAGAAGACACATTCTCTCTTGGAATGGAGAGCTTCTGCAAGTAAATTCATTTTCTTGTTGCACTCCTGCCCAATAAAAGAAAATGTGTGGCTAGGGAAGTGCGGGGGGTGTGTGTGCTTTGTAACCTACAGGTAGCAGATGAAATGGTTTCATTAGGGCAGCTGCTTTCAGAGGCCTGGAACTCAGCTGGAAGCATAAGATGCTTTCTGTGAGTTTCCCTTTATGGCCAAGAAAAAACATCTCAGAAACGAAAACACTCTTGAGAACAGAAAGTAGGACTTGTGGGGGGGGAGATGCATTTTCTCGGAATCCAATAAAATGGAAAGGAGTGAAGTAAAGCATCAGGATGTGCTTCTTATAAACAAACATACAAGAGGCTGACCTGGATATAGACAGCCATCAACTATTGAAACCCAGGATCCCCAACGTGGGTACTTAAGATAATCATGCTGATTTTCTTCTTAGGAAAAAGTCCTGCTTTCTAGAGGGTATCAAATGTGGTTTTCACAAACTTTGGCTGCAGTTTCTTACAACTGATCTATGCATGCAGTTGAGTGTCGTTGAGCTATAGCTTGGAGAGTTACTTTTTAAAATTAATTAATTCCTGTTACTTGTAGTGTTTGAAAAGTAACATGTTGCAGTTGACTAGGTTAGTTGTTTCACTGACTGCTGCTTTTTTTATTAGTTCCTTTTACAGGATGGGGGGCAAAACCTAATACAAAGCACATGTAAAATTGTAGAAATTCCAACGTGCTCTTAAAGGTAATGGCTACAGCAACTAGGAAACATTAAACCATTGAAGGAACTTTTTTTCCTACTAACTGTTACTTTTGAAGTATGCCTTGTCACACTCTCAATACCCCACTTATAATAGTCAACTTGTGCTGCTTATAATTACTGTAGTTACTTCTACGCTCTAGTCCCGTGGACTGCAAGGAGAACAAACCTACCCATTTTGAAGGAAATCAACCCTGAGTGCTCACTGGAAGGACAGATCCTGAAGCTGAGGCTCCAGTACTTTGGCCATCTCATGAGAAGAGAAGACTCCCTGGAAAAGACCCTGATGTTGGGAAAGTGTGAAGGCAAGAGGAGAAGGGGATGACAGAGGATGAGATGGTTGGGCAGTGTCATCGAAGCGACCAACATGAATTTGACACAACTCTGAGAGGCAGTGGAAGACAGGAAGGCCTGGCATGCTCTGGTCCATAGGGTCACGAAGAGTCAGACACGACTAAACAACAACAACAATCTCTAGGTGGAGACGGTTATTCCTTTACCATTTCTGAACTCAGTAATTTAAATTCAGTATCCTTTGGCAGAGGGGAGAAAGGACCATTTTGTCTTTTGCCTCAGTCAGCAAAAAGGCTTGGGTCAGCCCTGAAATTCAGCAGAAAATGACAGACTGAAGTCATGCTGTCTATGAAGGGTCACATTTGTGTATGCTCCTTTAGATCTCTCTCTCTCTCTCTCTCTCTCTCTCTCTCTGACACACACACACACAGAGAGACACAGACATTCATGCATGTACACACACCCTGGTTTGTAGACAAACAGCACACCAATCCCAAATTGTCTCTTTGTTAGTTATTGGTTTTTTTTTCATTTGCAGGGAAGAATTTTAAAAAGCTACTCCCACCTTCAGATATAACCTTCATCAGGGCTCTGACATCATCCATATTCATTGCCTTTGTAAACCCACTCCCTGGTCCTGTATGAGTTCTTTATGCTTTGTTTTTGTTTTGTTTTTTCCCCCCTTCCAGAGGTGATCCGGACAAGTGTGACATTTGGGGCAACACCCCTCTTCACCACGCTGCCTCCAACGGCCACACTCACTGTGTTTCCTTTTTAATCAACGTTGGCGCCAATATCTTCGCTTTGGATAATGACCTGCGTTCTCCTCTTGATGTTGCGGCCAGCAGGAATCAGTATGAATGCGTCAACCTTCTTGATAATGCTGCTACAGAGCAGAACATTAAGAACCCCAAAAAGGTCTCCCGCCTGAAGGCGGAGGCTCAGCAAAACGCCGAGAGGCAACTTCGTGAATGTGAAAGACGCCAAGAGAAACACGAACACAAAATGGCCCAGAATTTCAGCAAAGGATCTATATCTTCAGCAAGGGAAACGACCACAAGACCCAAAATCTCCAACTTCTTCACTTCTAGCTCATTAAGCGCCTTCCCTAAGCAGTTGAAAGACACGTTCAGGCTGAGGATGAAAAAAAAAGAAGAGACGTTAGACAACAGAGAAGTAGAATGGGGTGGTAGTCAAAACGACCTCCCAGCCGGGCGAACGGCTGTCATGGACATGTTCAACGAAAATGATGAAGACTTCGCCCACGAATTCCAAGGGAAAGCTAGTCTTTCTGAAGATGACGATGGTGAGCTAGGACAAAAGTCGATTTTCAATCGCCCTGGTCTTGGCAACATTGTGTTTAGAAGTCACTTGTCTGCCGGCAGAAGTGCTGATCCATTGTTACTGGCGAAAGAGGGTGTCCTCTCCAAAATACCCAACACATTGTTTCTGGTCCAAGAGTCTGAGGAGGAGGGTGACCTAGAAGACCCTGATGCTAATGTTCACCCTGACGGCCATCCTGAAGAACCTTGGATTGAAGAGGAAATTGCGTGGAATGATGGTGAAATGGAGGCCACCCCCTTGGAGGTGTTCCTGGCCTCACAAAACTTGAACGAATTGCTTCCCATTTTGATGAGAGAAAATATTGATTTAGAAGCCCTCATGCTTTGCTCCGATGAAGACCTGCGGAGCATCCAAATGCAGCTGGGTCCAAGGAAGAAAATCCTCCACGCTATCGAGAGAAGACAGCAGGCCCTTGCAAACCCGGGCAAGGTCCAAGATACTCAGTTGTAAGTCATATTTGTAGAACCAAGTGTCTCTATGGACATCACTTTGCATCAAGCGGCTGTTCTTCACCAGAAAGAATAGAATTTCACGTGGGAGAGAGAAGATTCGAGTTTTCATCCTGTGTGGAGACACTTAGCAGAATCAGGACCTACCATTAGCATCTTGGGATCTTTGAAGATCAGGTCTATTCCGGGTTTGTGCAAAGACACAGACCACCGCCTTTCCTGTAACCATGGCAGTAAGGAAACGTTTCCAGGTAGTTAGACTATTTTGGACTTCGGGTTGAATGATATTCTGGTGGGCGCCTTTGCATCCTAGGGGCTGAAGTCCTTTTGATGTAACTCTTCAGGCCTAAATGGCAATGGTGTCATCAGCTCCCAGCGTTAATCTTTAGGTTAATTTAATTTCTTTAATATTTTAAAATTTTATTGGTTTTAGCTTTTAATATTGTGTAAGTCACCTTGGCTACATTTTAAGGAGAAAGGCTTGGAATGAATGAATGAATGAATGAATGGATGGATGGATGGATGGATGGATGGATGGATGGATGGATGGATGGATGGATGGATGGATGGATGGATGGATTTAAAGTTTCCTATCTACTTCTCTTTCTGATGCTCCATGGAGATCTCTTTTGAGCTTTTGAGAGCCTGAGGATAGGGGCAGGGAGCCTTTAATATCCATAAAATAACTACTTGATCACTAACTATGGTTCTTATAAGTTCTCACCCCACTGCCAAGACTGCCCAAGGCTTGCCCAAGTCAAAAGGGATCCCGAGGGAGCCTTGGAACTTGTAGGGAGAGGGATAAATTTTTTTACATTAAATTAAAGGTTAACATCACAGCTAATGATGCCATCGTCATTTATGCCCATGAAGTTAACACGACTCTGGCTGATGTTTTAATTTGTGTAGTTTAAATGTAGTTAAATGCCACTCTGGTGCATTTGGGGGCCCTGGACTCAAAAGTGCTGGGCTGTCTCCAGGTGATGTTACACTGGAAAATGTCACAAAAAAGAATCGGATCGGGACGCAGTTCATAAGCATGTGAACCAGATCCACAGAAGGGATCCATTCTACTGTTCAGACCAAACTGAAAGAAAACATCAATAAAATTATAATAATCTAAATGTATTTATAAGTATTTACATACAAAAATATGTGTATTTCACTAATTCCATTTCTGTTGCCAAGATTGTTGGTGGGAGGATTGTGTTGAATTGGAATGTTAAAAATATAAGCAAGAGAAAAGCAATATTCTGTTGGGCTGTTTTTTTGAACAAGTATGCTCTGTGTCCACATTATGAAATATTCTGATTTTAGAAACCAACTCTGGCAACTCACCCACATTCCAGATTCTTACATCACATATAAATACAGACAGCAGGTGTGCATAAGCACTAGTAAGAACAATATATTGAGGAATTTTGGTTATTCCTTTTAGTTAGCAGAGTATGAGGTAGAAAAAAAACCCCGATATTTGGAGAGATCAGCTCAGTCTCATTACATACACATCTCCTTGGTTTCTTTTGGACACAAACTAGCATTTTGTATGATAAAAGCACTCTAGAAAAGGGTATCTTTACTTAAGGTCGAAAAGGGTATCTTTACTTATAGTTGCCATTCACAGTTACAGTCAGAAGGAACAAAAAGGAAAAAATTGCATCTCCAGCATGTGGAAAACCCTACGAGTGTTGCTTGGAAAAAGGGCAGGAGCAGAGGGCTATCAGCAAAAGCCCTCTTTTGCTGATAGCAAAAAGTAAACAAGCAAACAAGAAGGGGGAGGGCAAGGGCTTTCCTCAAATGCCGGAGGCAGAAAAATAACTGTTAAAATCAAGTTAGTGGCAGAGGACAATCACATTAGGTTGTAAAGCCCCTCCCAGTGATGCCCAGGTCTAGTGCATGCTAGATTGCTATTATCTCAAAACAATCTACCATGGGGTTGGCAGACCTATCATTTCCAAATGTTGTTTGACTCAAAAGTACTGTCTAGAATAATTGGGTGTGCTGATTAGGGAGTGCAGTAGAGGGGTGTTGCGATTGGAGTGGTGGACTGTGACTTGGGAAATCCAGCTTTTAATTTCCATCGAGTCATCAAGTGTGTTGGGTGATTTCAAGACAGTTGTGCCTCCCCGGGTCGTCGTGGGGATAAGGGGATGGTGAGCCATCTGTGCCTCCAAGGATCCCGTGGAAGAAAGGCGAGATAGAGATGCATCTTAAATAAATAAATAAAAAGCAGTCGCCCGGCAACTGCCGTGCTCTAGATTTTGTGCCCCCCCCCGGTTTCTTTGTCTCATGACTTGTAGACAAATAAGAGTAAAGGCAGTCAAAGTGAGATTCTCCACCGGTGGTTGGACTTCGTTTCCCATCAGCCCTAGCCACGGTAGCCAAGGGTGTGGGATGCTCGGATTTACTGCCCAGCAACATCTGGAAAGGCACCCTTTCCAAGCACCTGGTCTAGAGAGAGAATAGGCAGCTGTTGTAGGCAGTGTCTTTGATGTTATAATTTCACCTACATTGCTGTAGTCTAGTTATTTAAAAACTGCAGTGGAAAGCTATACAGACATAAGAAACTAGGGATAAGAGTAGGTCTAGTATGAAGCCATCATAATAGGACTTCTCCCTGGTGGTTCACTTGATCAGTATGTAGGCTGGGTCCAGCCACACCTGAGAGTTAATTCCTACAGTGTCCCCAAAGTTGGATGCCACTGTGGCTCATGATGAGAAATTAAAATGGATGCCAGATTCGGCTTGCAGTGCCGTGCCGTGTCACTCCTGACACTGCCATTAAGAAGACTTGCCAGAGGAATTAAATGCACTGAATCACTTGAAACACAGCCCGCTCAAGATGCAGGGCTTTAGAAAGTAACACGTCACTCTCCTGTTTCTCAAAATAATTAAATAGCTATTTTTAGTGGATTTTTTAAAAAGTTTGAATGCTACAAGCTGCAGGATTACAGGAGAAAAGACATCCCCTCGTGTTTGTGTCAGCATCCACAAGAGACGATGAGCTAGCGCTTGACCCATGAGATCTTCCTCCTCCACCATTTCGTAAAGCCACACACTCGTTTTGATAAATGTACTTTCTTTTTTAAAAAAAACCAGTCACATTGCCACAGGAGTGAAGATACCCATGTCGAGACGCAGCTCTGAGGTAGCTCAATTATACTTTTATTAGTGGAGAAATAAATTAATCACCAACACCTAATTATGTGAAACAAATTACTTCCAAGATCTAGCAAGGGGAAGCTTCTGTTAATGTTCATATCAGAAATACAATGCCTTTTAAAAAACACAACACATCCCTGGAGAGGAGAATGTTTTCTGGACTACTCTTGTTAGTCATTCCGGGACACTTGTTACAGAAAATTCATCCTTGGAAATGATTCACTCCTGGATGCTTAACATTGCGTGCTGATTGTTTGCACACATTCCAGCTGGCCTGCCAGGCTCCCTGATGGGATAGGAACTGAAGAGATTCTTGTGACCTTTAATGAAATTGCAGAAGTGATTACAAACCTGGCAGCCTCTCTTAACATACATAAATAAGTCTTTCTGAGTACACATCTGTCCTTCTCTGCTAATACAAAAGGAGGGTGGAGGTTGAGTATGTCGTCCAATGACACTTGGATGGTGAGCGTTTCAGGACAAACAAAAGGACTTCTTCAAGAGAGCTTCGTTCAGTTATGGCGGCTGTTAACGTGAGACATAACTGGCCACTAATTTAGAGAGTTTAGAAAATGGATGAGCCAAATTAGTTGAGGGCAAGGCTAACAAAAGCTAGTAATCACTGCAATTACAGTGGTGCCTCGATAGACGATGATAATCCATTCCACTGAAATCACTGTTTAGCGAAATCATTGTCTAGCGAAAAGCATTTCCCTATTGGAATGCATTGAATGCGTTCCAATGGGGAAGAATCGTCGTTGTCTAGCGAAGATTGGCCATAGGAAAGCCGCTTTGCGAACCACCGATCAGCTGTTTAAATAGCTGTCTTGTGAAGCTTAGGTCCCGAAAACACATGTTTGTGAGTGCGGAGGGAGCTGTCAAAATCGTCCCCTAGCAAAAATCAGTGTGCGAAGCAGGGACCAAACATTGTCCAGCGGAATTCCCCCATAGGAATCACTGTTTTGCGAATCGCTATAGCGATCGCAAAAAGCCAATGTCTAATGAAAAAACTGTAATGCAGGGCAACTGTCTAGCGAGGCACCACTGTACTCATCAGATGAAGAATGGCTTACAATATTGTTGCCTGGGAAAATAAGACGAAGAATGCCATTGAACGCATGCTCCATGCCCTTGCTGTACATCCTTTATTTCCTCTCATTGCACAACTTGTTAGGCCTGGTGTCACCACGCTCAGCATCCTCAAGCAGCTTCTAGGGCCAATTGCTGATCCTAACAAGAGCTCAAAGTAATTAGTTACAAGCAACATAACTTACCTATAACCAGTACTTTCTCATTAACAAGCAGGGTAACAAGTAATTATAACGTTACATTAAAAGGAATGTAACAAGTAGTGCCAGTGTTGTTTCTGAGGGGTGACAAGTAACATTTTCTAGTTACTTTTTAAAGTTTAATTTTTAAGGGCACTTTAAAATGTAAGACATTTTTTTTCAGGTGTTCTGCTATTCTCTTAGGCACCCAGCCGGAAGAAAAAGGGTCAGGCTGGGCCTTTGCCCCATCATGTGCATTTAAATACCACCTAACCACCAGTCTTTTGAATTTTGGATATATTTCTAGCTCGCCTTTCCCCTCAGGGAGTGCAAAGGCGGCCTGCATGGATCCTCATTCTGTCCTCACAAGCACAATTGTTTTGGCCATTCCAAGGTCTGCAGCCGGTTTCATGGCGTCACGTCCTGTCGGAGAAGCCCTTCAGCAAGAATGGGCCTAACGCTCTCGAACCCAACAGGGAAGAGGAACTGCAAAGCCACGTAGTACCTCAAGAAGCCCAAGCCTGTGCAGAGGCTGTCAAGGGGGAGTCATGGACCCCAACCCAGAGGAAGCTTAGGATTGCCTCAGGGTGGGACTCCGATAGTTGAGCTACAGAAAGCCCTCTGTTAGAAAGCACCAGAACCCTCCGGAGACAATGCATGTGCTCGTTCCTGTATCTTTTCCCCAAAACGCGTGGGCCCTTGCTTTGGATTCCTGAACCGTCCCCAACTCCTGCACTGTTTGGGCTGCACCTTCGAGTCCTGTTTGTGACTCGGGATTTTTTTGATTAATATCGGACGGTGGCTTTGGGTCTCCCCGTCCCGGCTGCCTGCCCTGGTGAGCATTCCGGCTCCTGTCCACGCTGTCTTGCGCTTCCCGACGCCTTGGGGTTGCTTTGGCTCAAGAGTCTCGTCTGTTTTGCCGAGCACGGAAGAGGACTCACGGCCAAGCACATGTTGGAAGGCAGGCCCCAATCCCGCGTTCTAACTATTATACCACATGCAGGCTCCTATTTAGATCAATAACAATAAAACACCTGATTCAAAATTAAATGCTCAATTTCTTTTCTGCTGTAAAAGAGCAAACACTGTACCAGTTACTACTAGTTTTTAACTAGTACAGAGTTGCCTTAGATATTTTACTTTCATTGAGTTAGACTGTGTGTTCAGAAAACAATCATAACTAATCTCTCAGATCTCGGCTGTATTGCTGGAACAGGCTAACATGGCTATGCATTAGCATTGCTTTGATGTAGATATGGTCCATAGATGGAATGTGTATAACCTTAGAAGAAATAGAGAGTGATATTCTTCCAACATCCCTCATAATCAGGACTTGATTCATAACATTTTTGGCAACTACCTTTCTGCTACAAAAATCACATATGGTAAGAGAGAAACGCATGTTTTAATTTAAATAGCTTTTAAAAACTGAAAAGCCCTCAGAATTATTTCAGATACAGTGGTGCCCCGCATAGCGACAATAATCCGTACCGGAAAAATCCTCACTATACAGATTCGTCACTATGCGGAACAAAGGAGCCCATAGGAACGCATCAAAACATGTTTAATGCATTCCTATGGGGGAAAAACTCACCGTTCTGCGAAAATCCTCCATGCGGCTGCCATTTTCGCTGCCCGGTAAGCGAGGAAAGGGTGTGAAAACACTGCAGGCGGCCATTTTATTTACCCGGTGGCCATTTTGGAACCGCCGATCAGCTGTTTTTAAAACATGGCTATGCGAAAATCGGTAAGTGAAACGCTTACCGATCACCGCAAAGCGATGTTTTGCCATCTAAAACATTGCAATGCGATCGCTTTTGCGATCGCAAAAACCTCATTGCTATGCAGATTCGTTGTTAAACGAATCGCTCGTCATGCGGGGCACCAGTGTATTGGAGAAGATCTGGAATAAAGCCCCTAAAAGGAACTTGAACAATTAAGTAAAAGCATGAAACAAGGTCATTCAAGCTAATGCTTCGGCATTAGAATTTTTAGCTTCTAAAAAGATGTAAAAACCTTGTTATATGCCAATGAGTTGCCTACAACTTACTATGGCCCTATGAATTAATCAACCCGTTATGAATTTTTCCACTCAAATGTTGGAAACTAAAGTTGCTTCGCTGAGTTGATCCATCTCAGCTTAGGTCTTTTGCAAAAATCTGCTCCTGCTTTTATCACACTGGATAGAAGACAAATGGTACCCGTGGACACAGAAATAAATGTACTGCTCATGTTACAAAAGTTCAGTTTCTCTAGTACTTCATTTTTTTTTATTCTCAGAAGAAAAACTACAAAATTATAAAAGGAGTTAATTCCTGCAATCCCAGGAATGATGCCACAGAAGGATGTATTCCACAGGACTTAACCGCCACCCTTGATTCTATTTTATTGTTTTGTTGCTCAAGAGGGTCGTGGTTCTTCATTTCAATTCTCAGCCGACCAGGAATCAAAGACCATTTTTGCTGCTACGGTGTCTTCAATAGCTATGCCTGCAAAAAGCAACAGCGTTATCCATCGCAGCCAAGAGAGAAGGACAAAAACACAGAGGAATTTCAGGGAGACGAGAACAATTAAGAGTATGTGGACTGAACAAACCAAGCTTTATGAGTAACTGGATTGTTTGCAACAATCTGTTGCCTCAGGGGGCAAGAGTCCTCTGTCCATCCCCTTCTATTTGATGGACACAACCTCAAGCTTTCTGGAGAACCTACAGTTAAGACCCCATAACCCAAGATACTGGTGATTCCGCCCCCAGTCTAACCCTGCACAGGACCCCCTAAACCAGTGGTCCCCAACCTTGGGCCTCCAGGTGTTCTTGGACTTCAACTCCCAGAAATCCTGGTCAGCAGAGGTGGTGGTGAAGGCTTCTGGGAGCTGTAGTCCAAGAACATCTGGAGGCCCAAGGTTGAGGACCACTGCCCTAAAACAGTGGTTCTTAACCTTTGTTACTCCGATGTTTTTGAACTGCAACTCCCAGAAACCCCAGCCAACAGGTGGTGAAGGCTTCTGGGTGTTGTAGTCCAAGAACATCTGGAGGCCCAAGGTTGGGGACCACTGCCCTAAACAACGCTGCCGCCCTCACATGTGGGTACCATGACCAGTGGAAAGGTAAGACTCAAGTAACCCAAGGTTAAGAACCAATGCCCTAAACAACGCTGCTGCCCTCACATGTGGGCACCATGACCAGTGGAAAGGTAAGATTCCATGCTGTTTTGGATCAGTAGGGAGAGGATTTTTTAAAAAAAAAATCACTACAATTCCCATAATTTCTGGGAGTCCTACCAGACTTACAAACGCCATACAGACACTTAAATGTGGTTTATACCTAGGAGGAAAAAAATCAAAATAGGAAGGTGCTCCACCTAGTTTATTGTTGAGAAAAAGAACTCCCAGCTAGCACCAGGACAAGAACAATAAGCTTGGTAGAGGCCAAACCTAGTTAAGCCTCAAAGCCTTCCGGTGCAGGCATTTTCTCCAAGGTGAGCCAGATTTAGGCTCCTGTAAGTTGTTTCTAAATCAGAGAGAATGCCCAGAATAGGAAATGATGGGCTTGGTAGTCCTTGAAATCTGAAAATCCCATCCTGATTGGCCAGCGACTACATGGGGAGGAGCCATCTTGTCCTTCACCTGAGAGAGCCAAATATCTTGGGTCTTGTGCATAATGCTAGTAGATTCTGGCAAAGCTATTTCCGAAAAAAGCCATCTTTAAAAAATGTCCTGGGAACTGCAGTCCAAACAAGCAGTGTTTCCATTCTCTGGGCACTGATTGGCTGGCCCCTCTTGATGTCACCAAGACATCTTCTCCCTGATTGGCTAATCCCTAAGAAACCTGCGTCACAGCCCTAAAAGAGTTTCACACTTTAAAAGTGGTGGGGAGGGAGGAGTGATAAATAAGTAAACACATTCTATTGATGTGGTATTTACACCATCTTTTAAATGTAGATAGCCCACTGGAAGCATTCAACAAGTTACTCTTGGCAAAAAAAAAACAACCAGTCACTAGTAGAGTTACGGTTGTATCCGCAGACAGACAAGGCATTCATTCATCTTGAGCATCCCCGCTGATATTGATTGCCCCAATCTTACATCTTTTGAGGAAAATAGGACAGCTGCTTTTTTGTGATATAAAGGGGAAACACTTGATTGCAGGCTGCAAAGTAATCGCTCGCTCTCCCGTGCAGTAATCGGGCATTGTCTTGCACTGTCATTGGAACACAGGAGGGTTTTTTTTCTTACCCAGTGATTTGAACACAGTCGTTTTCTCACGCAAAGCTGGCTTCGTTCCCAACAACACCTCGCCGAGCTCAGCAAACATCTCCGCCTGTGTGGCATAAACACAGATCTTTTGTCATTTGTGATTCTCTCTCCTTTTGATGTTCAGGAATGGCGTCCGTACCAAAGGGGGAAAAGGAGAACTTTGCGGCTGTGGCTCACGCTTGCCACCTCACTGTATTTTGAATACAGTGGTGCCTCGCTTAGCGACGTTAATCCGTTCCAGGAAAAACGTCGCTAAGGGATTTCGTTGCTAAGCAGTTTAAAAAAGCCCACAGAAATGCATTAAAACGTGTTTAATGCATTCCTATGGGCTTAAAAACTGACCTTATATGAAGATCCTCCATTGCGGTGGCCATTTTGGGTGCCTCTAAAGCGAGGCAAAACAGCGGGCGGCCATTTTGGAACCGCCAATCAGCTGGCCGAAAACGGGGGCTTTGCGATGATCGCTTCTGCGCAATCATCGCAAAGCAATGTTTCCCCATAGGAAACATCGCAAAGCAATTGCTTTTGCGATCGCAAAAACAGCATCGCAAAGCGATTTCATCGCTTAACGGAGCGATCGGTAAGCGAGGCACCACTGTATATTCCTTCCTTGAGGCCAGGCCTCATAGCACTCCCGCGGTAAATGCCACAGAAAATTAGTTTCTAATGGCACTGTGCCCAGAAACTAGATGGGGGTTCACAGATCACGAATAGGGCATCTGCTCTTTTATGGAATTCCCTCCTTAAAGCCCGCCCTGTTCCTTCTCTTCTTGCAACAGACTCTATGACCAAGGCTACTTGGTTCGGGCCAGTCCTTGGCTCTATTCTAATTAAATCCGATTGTGATAAGTAAAGTGTGTTACAGTTGGCCCATGAGCCTAGCCCCAAATTAGCATTGGTTTCAAATGCAACTATATAAAATATTTAAAGATGAAGAAGTTTTATTTGTCAAAACCTTTTCTTCACTGCAGCCTCAAACTGCAGGCTTGAGTTCTCAGAAGAGGCATCCGTGCTCTAGCTGAAATCCTACGGACACTTTCCACAGAGAAAGCCTTGCGGAACCTAATGCCACAGACTTCTTAGTAAACAGGCACACGGTTATACTGTTTGGGGTTTTTTGCAACACAACGGTAACTTGCGTGCATCGTCATATAAAAGTCGTCTGCCGAAATGCAAAAATTCAAAGATTTCTGTGCCTAAAAGTTTATTCCTCATTAATATTGTATTTTTCTGTGTATAAGACGCCCCGGTGTATAACCCCCCCACACACACTTTTCTAATCCAAACTTAAGAAATCTAAGTGGGGCTTAGCAAGTGTAGAGGGAAAGGGATAAAAGCGATGCAGGATCGCTTTGATCCCTGCTTTCCCCTCCACTTGTTTTTGTTCTCTCCTCAGCTTACTTCTGTGTATGACCCTCAATTTGTAGTCTAAAGGTTTTAGACAAAAGTATAGTCTTATACACGGAAGAATACGGTAATTGGAGCATTTCACCACATCCTTGGGTTGCTCAGCCGTACCCTTGGCCATGCCCTCATGAGCCATACCCTTGGCCAACCACATGACCTTCAGATGCATCCCTATGTCCCTCTGTAAAATGATGAAGGGTAAGGATCAGACCCTAGAAAGGGTAGCCTGGCTGAACACGAAAAGAAACAACTGGCTCTCTCAAACCCCTCCCGGATGCTACAGGCTACTTTAAGCCTCTGAGAGTGGCTTGTATCCAGTATTTGCCTCTGTGTGTGTGTTTAAGGAAAGACATAAAAGCCCTTCCTTACCCCCGATAAAATGACATCCCCTGATTCACGCAAAGCAGCTTCTCTGGAATCCACGTACAACACTGAGTTCTGCATGACGGCATCGTCCAGCTCCCGCCAGTCAGGCCTGCTGGCCCCTATGGCTAAAAGGCAAACAGAACAAAGAGCCCGTTTGAGGAAGCACGTTCATTTTTCAAGATGCGGAGGTTCAAAGAGTGAACGCACACCCAGCCACACACACCCCGACTCAAAGGCTACACAGACAGCTGCCAAATACGGCCGTGAATGAATCATTCTTACTGAACACAGTTTGGATACCCCAGTCATGACTCCATCCCCACAGAAAGCGAATATATCATCATAGAAATGCAGAGCTGGAAGGGACCCTCAGGATCATCAAGTCCAGCCCCTGTCAAGGAGGCACCGTGGGGAATCAAACCCTTGGCCATGCGGTTTGAGATACTGAAACCACAGGGATTCAAACCAGCAGTTCTTATGTTGTTTGGTGAGACACATGGCATTCTTTTTTCTGTAGTTCAGAGAGTGCCTTCTAAACTTCTCCTCAAACTACGGATCCCAGGATTCCACTGGAAGGAACAAGGGCAATTCAAGTGTACCCCCCTGAACTGATACACCTCTTGATGTCTCACCTGCCTGACCTTTCCCTAGAAAGGTTGAATTCTGACACATATACAACAGCCATAGGAAACGCCAACGACATGAATCCCATGCTATTGGAAGTAGACTGGGGCTTACACCGCTATCTCGCCAAGAGTGAAAAATATACATTTCTTTCACCTGTTTCCTGGCTAAGAGAGTGGGTGTGGCACTATGGTTTCAGTTTCAGATTTGGACTGGGGAGATCTGGGTTCAAATCCCCATTCGGGCTGTGAATTCACTCACTGAGAAGTCACACGAGGCAATTCAGGTTCCCCCTGGTTTGTTCATGTTAACTGGCCACACAGGGAGAGGAGGAAATTGGCTGAACGACTTAGCTTGCAGCTTGTTAACATGGCTCCCCTGTACCCCTGCAGGAGGCTCAACTACAAGAGAATTACCCTATAAGCTGTAAACAAGGGCAGAGTGGACATTTCCTCCTCTTGTTACTTCCTCTCATAGAGCAAACAGAATCCTGTGCAGGTAGGAGCAGCTTTTCTTTTCAGGAGCAGTGACCGATGTCTCTTGAAGCGAGATGGTGAGGAAATGCAAGGGAAAAGAAGCCAATCTCTCTCTCTCTCTCTCTCTCTCTCTCTCTCTTTCAATCTGCAAATCCAACCATTTTAGAAATGGCAGAAAGCAAAGGATCATTCTGCACTGGTTCAAGTAATCACATTGCCTGAACCGACAAGAATGGCTCAAAAGTAAAAATAAAAATAGAAGCCCCAATGGCAGAGGCAACAACTATGGATTAAGGAGGAAAAACTCTGGGCTGATCCACATTTGCTTTTACATCATGTAGTCAATGGGGGGGGGAGGAATGTGAATCAGCTCATCCCAATCCCATAGCATTCACCATATTTATTTATATTTATATTTATTATTATTATTTGCAACGTTGTCGCACCCTCAGTTACTTCCCAGCTAAGCTTCATCACAGTTTTGTTGTGAACATAAAACAGAGTGTAGGAGGGAAAAACTACCCATAAGACGCACCTTTCCATAAGATGCACCAATTTTTTAGGAGAAGAAAACAGGAAAATATAATCTGTTTTCTTCGCTCCATAAGACGCACAGACTTTCCACCCCCCCTGTTTTATGGGGAAAAAGTGCGTCTTATGGTGCGAAAAATACGGTAGCTATAGCACCTTGAGCTTCTTAGATGAGAGTTAAAAACACAGAAAATAAACTAAGCTCTTGAGCTTGTGCTCCTTAATTTATCTCAGGAAATTTGGAAATGGCTTTGCTTTCTGTCTGACATTTCTGGATGAGGAACCTGAGCCCTCATGAAAAACGTCTTTTGATTCAACGACCATTGCAAGGAGAACAGCCAATTAGTAAGTATTTCATCTCCGGTTTTATAAACCGAGAAGCAAGAAACTCAGCTTATTTTCTCTGAAAACCTACTCGAGCGTTAGAAATGAATTCCCTGTGGAGGAAAGAAACCGAAGCAAGGCAGCCTTTTTGTCTCTGTGTCACCACGGTGAAATGAGGACACAAACTGTCCCCCGACGCTTGACGCCAGGCTTCACCGCGAGACGAAAAATACTTCAGACAAAGCATTGACTGCAGGCCAAGGGACGCCTCAGCCAGCCACTGACGCATATGTGGGGTGGCGTGCCTTCAGCCTGCCGGCTCCCCTCAGTTGCTTCCTGTCGCTATGGGAGACAAAGGGAAAAGGAACTGGGAAAGCCAACGCAAACTGGGACAGATATGTAAATGGGGAGCTAATGCAAGGGCCTTTCCTCCCCTCATCAGATTCTGGATCCGAGTTTCCTTCCATGCTCTATTTACTCTTAGCTTGCCCTGTGCTTCCACCAGGTTGGCCCCATGCCCTACTTTACAAAGCAGGATCCTTGATGTGAAGCATCGCCAAAGGACAGAGAGGGCGGTCTGGTCCAAGCTAAAGAGCCAGTGACCAAAATCAAGGCAGCGACTTGCACTAGAGTAGGCCCACTGAATTCAACAGGGATTTGGCGAGCCACCTCCTCCATAAGTTTGCAGTTAGAGTAAGCCTATTTAAATCAGTGGAATTTACAGAGAAGGTGACTCCCCTAATCACCGTGGATCCAATGCGCCTACTGCAGTGTGATTTACAGTAAACCCAGTTAAGCAATGGGATTCGGTCCAATTTAGTGTAGTGTTGGATTAGGACTCCCGAGACCTGGGTTCAAACCCCCACCCCGCCGTGAAATTCACTGCGTGACCCTGGATCAATCGCATTCTCTCAGCCTAGCCTGACTCTCATGATGGTCATGAGAAAACAAGGACAGGGAGAGGAAGGAGGAGGAGAGCCATGAACTCAAGGGTTCATGGGAGGACAGCTAGCTAGAGAAGTTAAAGAAATAAAGTTACTTTTCGGGACTACAGTTCCTAAACTAGCAGCAGTGGCAATGCTTCTAGCTAGGGGATTCTGGGGGCTGTAGTCAATAAGACCTTTTCAGCACATCTGTGGAATTGGGGGGTGGGGACAGTCCAGAAGACGCCATTTTCCACCTGTAAGCCCATCCACAGCCTTTCCCAGTCTTTCTTCCATCCTTTTTTCTTACCATTTTTGTCTTCCATCTGTTAAGACTGGATTCACTGAAAAAGCAATGGTTTTACGATGGCCATAACCAGAGAGAAGTTACTTTTTCTAGACGATGACTCCTAAGATGATCATCCACCCACCCACTCAGATGGCTTGGATATTGTGGAAGCTATAGTCCAGTCCTCATCTCTGGTCAAGACTAACTAAATTCCCATTGATTTCGATGGGTCAACTCTGACAAAATCTGGATCCCACCCGTTATATATAGATGGAAATCCTATAGATTTTAATGGCTGTTAGTTCCACCAAAGTTCATCTAGGTTCACAACCTAAAGCAGATTAGTAATATCTTACTAGAAACCAGTTAAACTGGATCATCCAATCTGTAACAAAATATTTAATTAAAGCTCATTAAAACATGGCAAAATCTCTGTCAGCACATACTATATTAATTCACCTGTTTGGCGGTTGTTTTTCTTTATTTATTTTTTCTTTCTTTGACCACATCAATAGCCGCAGTTATGTCATCATGAGGGCCCCATTTTGCAGGAACATTAGCATTGGGGCAATTGCTCAAGAAGGTTTTTAATCTGTGATAATGCAGTTGTAAACTAACACTTGTCAGGAGACACCAAGTCTACAGCCGGGAACCCTTGGCTCTCTCTGGAAGCTTCCTCACATGGGAAATGGTTGAGAGTACTGGTTCTCAACCTTAAGTCCTCCAGGTGTCACGGATTATAAATCCCATCAATGTCCAGGCGTTGTGGATTTCAAATCCCACCAGCCTTCATAGGGGTGAAGGATTCCGGGAGCGGACATCCATAACCACTGGAGGATCAAAGCTTGAGAACCACAGCCTTGAAGCATTTTCTGGCCTTCTCAAGCTCTAGACTGGCTCCATGTACCAAGGCTGAACATGAAGAACTAGGAAGTACTTCCTGAATGCTTTGGGGTCTAGTCTGAACACAGTGACAATGTTTGGGCTTCTCTGCGCATTTGGGTCCATCGGTTTACTCCCCAGGTTATGAAAGAACACCTCAGACAGGGACCTACAACTCAACTCAGCATGACAGCATCACAATGTATGGATTATCCTTATAACAATTTCACTGCTCAGCCACATTGATGTCAGCCCATGGCTATATCTACGGAAGTGCTCCAGCAATTCCTGGCAGCTGTTTGGCTTGGCCATCGGCGGTAGGTGAGGAGTCATGGCTCAATACCATCAATTCCTGGCAGCTGTTTGGCTTGGCCATTGTCGGTAGGTGAGGAGTCATGGCTCAATTCAGGCAGAAGCCATGCACCTGGATGGTGATGCGTTCCAGACTAACAGGGTTGCTGCACTTCACAGACATTTCTGTTTGAGGCCATTTTACCTGCCATTGTTCCATCCTCTGCAGTTTTGGGACATGCTTCCTCTAAATCGGTGGTCACCAACCTTTTCCGAACCGGTTGGGGTCTGGGGGGGCACACTCATGGGTGGGCAGAGCGCACAATCACGCATGCACGAGTGGGCAGGGCATGCGTGTGGGTGGGTGTGCATGGGCGGGAGATCTGTGTCCGCGGCCCGGTCCTGCCAAGGCCATGGACCAGCACTGGGCTGCAGAGTCAGGGTTGGGAACCCCTGTTCTAAATTATGACACTAGAGTTCTCTAGCAGCTAATATTAAACAGCCACCTGAATTCCAGAGGACAAAGCTAGAATAGTCAAGTTATGGCACTACTAATTAAAATGCTAGAATGGCTTAGGGCAGATCCACCTTTATGCTGGTGAGCTGCCTGGATAGGTTAGCTTTCTGGCTGTAGAGCCAGAGGTTGCCGGTTCGATGCCACACCGTGCCTCCTTTGAATCCAGCCAGCCTGCATAGCCTTCGGCAAGCTGTGACCACCCCAGGATGCCTCCCAGAAGAACGGAATGGGAAGCCACTTCTGGGTATTCTCTCCCTGGAACATTTGGGAAAGGGTTGCCGTAAGTCTGAATTGACTTGATGGTACATGATGATGATGATATGTTGGTAACAATATGACTATTCATGGGTAGAAAGGACAACTCATGGATAGCATAGCTCTCCCTCTTCAGACTCCCTCATGTGGGGTGACAACAAAACCAGGTATGGAAGGAAGCCGAGTTAGAGCACCCCTTCTACCCATAGTGAGTGTAGACAGGGAGAGAAGAACCAAAGGTAGCTCAGGACCTGCATTATAAGTGGGAGGTTTTGTTTGTTTGTTTGTTTGGAAAAACAGAAAACTTACACTCAGAACAGTCTTGGTCTGTGAGCTCTCGCAGACGGTTGGAAGAAACCCAGAACTCATCTCCTCCAAGCCCAGCACTATGGGACTCCCGATGGGAAACCAGGAACCGCTTTCTGCTCCAAAACCTCTATGGAAGGTGAGCCCACGACCTTCCAAGGCAATCCGTTCCATCGGTGAACAGTTCGTGCCATTAGGAACCACACTTGACACATCATCAAAAGGTCTTCCCTTTCCCCCATCCCATCTGAATGCATCCATTGGGGTCCCACTCTCAGAGCAGCTGAAAACAGTATTTCTTTCCTAGTGTTTGATGGGAGTCCCGCTCATGAATCGTGCTAGCCAAGTTAGCTCTCCTTTCAGTGGCCATGGAGTTATAGAATCATAGAAAAGTGAAGTTGGAAGGGGCCTACAAGGCCATCAAGTACAACCCCCTGCTCAGCGCAGGAACGCAATCAAAGCATATCTGCCAGGTGATTATCAATGTTTTTCTTGAATGCCTCCAGTGTTGGAGCACTCCCCCGCACCCGAGGTCGCTGCTTCTACTGTCGTACTGCTCTAACAGTTAGGAAGTTTTTCCTGATATTCAACCAAAATCTGGCTTCCTGTAACTTGAGCCCATTGTTGTGTGTCCTGCAATCTGAAATGATCGAGAACAGATCCTGCCCCTCCTCTTTCAAATGTATTTGAAAAGTGTTATCATATCATGTTAAAACTGAAGAACATACTTTACCATTGATATGGGCTCCAGGTTTCACCCATTCACCGTGCAGAATGGGCTTTGTTGCCATGGTGACTGTTATGATCACATCCGCCCCTCTGGCAGCCTCTTGGACGGATGAACAGACTTGCACCGGGCCACTGACGGAGCGTGCAAACTTTTCAGCTCTCTCCTTGGTGCGGTTCCAGATCCTCACCTTCAAGAGAAATTAAGCAGCTGGGACTGAATTCTCTTCGTTATTCCTACTGTTTGAACATCAGGCATCAAGGCTCACCCCGTAAAGCTATCCATGGTCTTCCATGGCAAACAGAGGCAGATAAGCAGTGCAATAAATTTTGCAATCAGGTCACGCCTCCCAACAGCAAGATTTATCCCAAAACACAGACTATTGTCAATGAACCAGTTTTCATTTTCACCAGGAGCAGGTCTTTTGTAAAGTCAATAGGTCTTAATTGCTCGTTTAAAACTTAAATCTTCCCAAAGGATTTGCATTGTAGCAAGGACAGTCTATTTTTGCTAAGATAATCTATTTCTTTCCACCAGAAACTGTAAGGACGACAACTAAATTCAGAGTGGGCAGGGAAATTGGGGCAGAAAAGTGAGTGGATGATGTCGTGCTTCCTCCTATTCAAAATATCTTGCCTCTACAATGCCGGTCAGCATTTCATCCAGGAGTTCCCGCAAGACTCCGAAACGCCTCCCTCTTGTGCAAGCGTGGCACCGCTTGGGTTACATAAGCAACGGTACTCAAGAGCCTGAGCACCAGAAAGAAGCAGCCTCATAAGGATGAAACTCTTTTTAGATTCATAATGGATGGCAGCAAAAAGGAAAACTTAGTAAAAAGTTGCATGATGATGGCCCAAAGGCCAGGACCCATCCCACCACGAGGTTGGTCCTCCCTAGCCATGGGAAAGGGCAAGAAGCGGCTCTCCCTCCTGCTCCTTTAGGACCAGGCAGGTGCTATGCACGACTCTTCAGCATCATGTGTCTGTCTTTGTGTCAAGGGCTCCTCTGAGCATGACAGGTGTGATCTAGAAAACTGTACACTGGGCCACAGATACTTCTAGTTATTCCCCCGCCGCTGCTGCCCACTGCCGTTATGTGCCACCAAGTCGCCCCCAAATGATGAATGAACCATGTCCAAAATATCCTGCCCTCAGCTCAGCTCCTGTGGGTTCCTTTCGGGAGTCAGTCCATGTCATCGGCAGTCTCCCTCTTTTCCTGCTGCTTTCCACTCTTCCCAGAACTATTGTGTTTTCTTCCCCCCCAGAGAATCCTGCCTTCTCAGGATGTGCCCAAGGTAGGACAGCCTCTGTTTCAATATTTGTGCCTCCAGAGGTACAGTGGTGCCTCGCATAGCGAGGTTAATCTGTTCCGGATTAACCCTCGCTATGTGAAAACATCGCTAAACGGAACATAAAAACCCATTGGAGCGCATTAAACATCTTTTAATGCGTTCCAATGGGCCCTAAACTTACAGTTCAGCGAAGTTTCCTCCATAGCGGCAGCCATTTTCGCGCCCTCGGTAAGCGAGGGGAGGGCGCGAAAACACTGCGCACGGCCATTTCGGGCGTCCGGCGGCCATTTTAGAACCGCCGAACAGCTGATCCGCGGGCATCGCAAAGCGAAGATCGGTAAGCGAAACGCTTATCGATCGTAGCTATGCGAGTTTTGCCCATTGGAACGATCGGTATGCCTCCGCATTAGCCATCCTGAAAAGGGGATCGCTATGCGGATTCATCGTTGTACGGTGCGCTCGTTAAGCGAGGCACCACTGTAGTTCTGGCTTTTGATTCCAGAGACCCTATGTGGCGCTGGGCCCTGGCACCCGGAGGGCCACCACATCTTTCTCCTTACCCTGTGGCTGAGTGGCCAAGGGCCCCCTCAGCTGCCGCTTCCTGCTGTGTGTGTAAGTGGGGTGGCCTTCTCTCAAGTTCCCTGGCAAAGAGGGGCCAGCCCCTTCCCTGGCAGGGCCATTTAGGGCAGGTGGGTGGCGTGTCCTCACTGCAGTGTACATGGAGCAGGCTCAGTGCGTGGGGATGGATGCCCACATGAGGTATGGGGTACAGGACTTATCCTTCCTGCTTCAGGCAGCAGAACGGCTTGGGCTACCTCGCTAATTCTACAACATCACCACCGGTTGATCAAATTTGTGTTGCCAAACCACTTTCAACTTAGGGCTATCCCATGAATTAATGACGTCCACAAATGGTCCTGCCATTAACAGCCTATTTGGGTCCTGCAGACTGAGGGCTGATGATTCTCTTATGGAGTCCATCCATCTCACTTTAGGTCCTCCTCTTCTCCTTCAACTTTTCCCAACATTATTGTCTTCTCCAGTGTGTCTTGCCTTTTCATGATGCGCACAACACAGGAAACAATGACAACCCCCATTCCGTGGGTTCAGCTGGGCTTCTTACCTCCTTAAATGAGAATAGCTCAGTGAAAATCTCATAATGGCTGTAGGCCTGAACCCCGGCTCCTAGGATGCACAAGACTTCGGAATTTGCTGGCATTAGGAGCTGAAAACACACAGACAGAAGAATGAAGTTCTTGTTCAACGGGTCCCATTTTCCACTTGACTTCAGACACAGCATTCACACTTCTTTTTTTCTGGCCACTAATCCACAGCTATGGAAATACTGTAAATCCTACTCACCTACCATAGCAGCTAAAAGTCAGCAGTGGCTTCCCACCCACCCACCAACAGTTTAAGAACTACCGTGTTCTTTTTTTTTAATTTAAGTTCTGTCACACAGGGGAGATGATCTTCCAATTACAGTTTGATCTAAATCATTAATTTTACATTTTCTATGGGAGCACCTGTAGTTTCTCCTCTATCCACAACATCTGCCCTTCGTGGGATTTGAACTACCATCGTTATGTCCCTTAACCTACTTATTGTGAGCCTATGGATGAATGACCTCAATCCAGACGCCTACCAAAAGCCAGCTGAATGGCCAGAACCTAAAGATATCTTTATTCTGTTAAAATCATGGATTAATTTTTTTAAAATACTAATCTCCAGTTCAGCTGATGGTTGTGTCTCTTTCCCTCTGCTCTTGGTTAAGCCAGATGTCTGCCAGCTGTGGAAAAGAGGCTTAGCACTGGTCAAAATCTCAGCCATGCCTTTGATCTGCAGAGGATGGACACATAGCATTCCCCCTGCAGCCGAGGAAGCTGTAAGAATGCTGATCAGCCCATCCTTGTCATATTACTTGGCCATTTTTTCTTCCACTTCTGCAACACACTGCTACCTTTGGAACATTTGGTTGACACTCCTAAGAAATCCAGATAGATTTCTGTTTCTCTGTGTTTTGTTTGTGTGGGGTTTTGGGAGGGGGGTGGAGCTTTTTCTTTCTTTCTTTAGATCGGTGTATGGGCCACCGTTCCAATCGCCCTGCGTGCGGTGCTGGCCGGAAGGGACAGGATTGGCAACCCAATGCCTCTGCAAAGCTTGGCAAAGTTACTGTTCGGGTCTACGACTCCTCAAACCCTCTGGAAACACTGCCAGAGATACAGCTAGCATTAAGAGCTTTTCATTATTGTTTCTTTTAATACTGTCAGCCAGTGGTCCCCAGCCTTGGGCCTCCAGATGTTCTTGGACTACAACTCCCAGAAGCCTTCACCACCACCTCTGCTGGGCAGGATTTCTGGGAGTTGAAGTCCAAGAACATCTGGAGGCCCAAGGTTGGGGGCCACTGCTGTAAGGCATCTTGGATCCTTTCAGGAGAAATGCATCATATAAAATATTTTAAATAAATAAATACAAGTAACTGGTCAGTGCTCTGCACATCTGGCAGGCACCAAACGCCTTGATGTCCACGCACTCAAAGCATTTGCCACCTGAAGGAGCCCACCAGCCTGTATGGAGCAAAGAAAGTCATCAGGCCTGGCCTTTTGCATTTTTCAATCGCTATGCGTTCTTTGACTCTCCCTCCACGACAGCTGCCTTTTCAGGGATCCTGGATAAAAATATCCACACTTTGAAAAGGACTGCCTTAAACAAGGGGATAAAGAGGCGGGACAGGCAACCTGAAATAACTGCCTGCCCCAAGGGATTCCCTTTGACATCCATCCGTGTTTCACCGACTGAAGATCAACCCATGCTTATGACTTTGTGCCAGACTCCAACAGGCTTAATTAATTCCTGGAAAAGCTTGGCGGAGGGTGGCTACAGCCTACGGGTCCACCCACGTTCCAGCAGGGCCTGCAACCCACTGCTACATAAGTCCATAAATTTATTCTCTCGCTTTCCAAATTGGGGCACGGAGCCCAAGAGTGATGATGTGACCGTTCGGCTCCTGGCAAGACCAGGAATGCCTCTGAAAATGGAAAAATCCTTCCCTTCTCCCCAAACGGAATGGCCCGCTTTGGTTCTAAGGTTTGCTCCGGAGGGCATTAAAAGCAGCTTTCCGACCGAATCCTTTTGCACTCACCTTAGTCGCTATTGCAGAAACCGCCGCTGTTCGCTTGGCGGTGATGACGCTGCCATCCATGACCTTGGAAGAACAAAACAAAAGATCAAACCGAATGAAAAGTCCAGGACAAAAGGTGGGGAAACAGGTGATGCTTTTCTCCTGTAAACCAGACACATGACGCAGCTACGTAGGTCTTTTTATTTGGAGCTTGGTAGCCGCTCAGATCAATGAATGGCAAGGAACTCTAACTTCACTCTTCTATGAGTCTATAAAAGTGCCAAAGGTAATCTTGAATAGTGAGAAAGTAAAGAGCTGTTTGTACAGTGGTGCCTCGCATAGCGAGGTTAATCCGTTCGGGATTAACCTTCGCTATGCTGAAGCATCGCTGAACGGGGCAGCGATTTCCATTGGAACGCATTAAACATCGTTTAATGCGTTCCAAATGGGCCAAATACTCACCGTTCAGCGAAGCTTCAGGATGGCCGGCAGCCATTTTCGCGCCCCCGCCTCGCTTAACAAGGGCGTGAAAACGCTGCGCGCGGCCATTTTGGGCCATTTCCCGGCTTCCGGCGGCCATTTTGGCCGCCGAACAGCTGATCGTCGGGGTTCGTTTTGCAAAGATCGGTAAGCGAAACGCTTACCAGTCTTCGCAAAGCGAATTTTTCCCCATTTAAAAAACGTTGTGCGATCGCATTAGCGCTCCGAAAAAACGGATCGCTATGCGATTTCATCGTTATACGGTGCGCTCATTAAGCGAGGCACCACTGTATTTTAAATGGCATCTATAGTGGTGATGAACTATTCATTAAGGGGATGGAACTGTTCAAAAGAAACTAGTTACAAGTACAGTGGTGCCTCGCTAGATGATGATAATCCGTTCCACTGAAACTGCTGTTTAGTGAAATCATTGTCTAGCAAAAAGCATTTCCCCACTGGAATGCACTGAAACCTGTTTCATGTGTTCCAATGGTTGTTGTCTAGCGAAGATCAGCCATAGGAAAGCCGCTTTGCGAACCGCCAATCAGCTGTTTAAATCGCTGTCTTGCGCACCTTAGGTCCCGAAAACACCTGTTAGTGAGCACGTAGGAAGCTGTCAAAATCATCGTCTAGCGAAAATAGGTTTGCGAAGCAGGGATCAAACATTGTCCAGCGAAATTCCCCAATAGGAATCACTTTTTTGCGAATTGCTATAGCGATCGCAAAAAGCCAATGTCTAATGAAAAAGCTGTCATGCGGGGTAACCGTCTAGCGAGGCACCACTGCAGCTATCTAGACCAATTACTGGTACCAATTACTGGCCAGTTCAGCTATTTAAAACTGGTTACTTTTTAAGTAACAGGTATATAGAGAGATGTTTAGATATTCACTAGGCCAACGCATAGGTAAATAATATCTCAGGCCTGACTTCCAGCTTTATAGCCAGATTCACACTGATCGGCACTGGAGGAAATTAGGTCTAAGAAATAAGACCCTTTCTCATCATCGCTGGCAAGCCTAGAATTTGAACCCAGATCTCAAGTTTTGTGATCCTCCCAGATCTATTGCCGCAGCCCTGCTTCAGATGCTGGATCAGTCCCAGTCCCATCTGCTTCCCATAAAAGCCCAGGAGACTCACCGCCTGGAGAGCGCCATTGCTGGGATCAAATAGGAGGATCGTTGCTTGGTGTGAAGGAACCGCCGGGTCCGTGGGGTGCTCATAAAAGGTCACCAGCTTGGTCGTCAGAGCATCGTCGTTTGCGCTGTAGGCAGGCATGACCCCTAAAAAGCTTCCAAGCAGAAAACAGAGGCCGCACGATCACAATTCCAGTATGACCGGCTCTAGGGCAACCAAGTGGACAAGAGGTTAATTTGCAACTACTTCCAAACTTTTTTTTTAAAAAAGACAACGGATTGCTCAATTCTGCAAAATCCTGACTCCTGAGGAGGGCCAAACTCCTCCTGTCTCGGTTTCCCTGAAGCAAAGTTGAGCATTTGCAAAAATCATAGCAGGGAACCGCTGAAGGTCGGTTGTTGTTTTTTTTTAAAAACCCCATTGGACTACAATTCCCCAAACCCCCAGAAAAGGATGCTGGGCTCTGGGAGTTGGAATCCAAAAGTGCCAAGCCCAAGAGCTGAGGGGGGAATCTTGGCAGATGATGTCCAAAATATGATGGGGGGGGCTGGAGAAATCTAGGAATAGGGGAAGCGCTGACTCGGGGGGGGGCTGTTTTCTAAGGAGAACATCTGGTTCCCCCCCTCACCGGGAAGGGAGATTTTGGAAATTGTAGCATCGGAAAAAGGCAAGGTTTCCAACCTTTCGCCATCAAGGGGAGGGGGCAAGGCAAGCCAGACCTGGGGCCGCCATCATCATCCCCCGCCCGCCGCGATGCTAACTGATGCTGCGGCTCGGGTCCATTCCCCGTCTCACTCACTCCCCTCCCTTCCGAGGAGGAGGCGGCGGCGAGGGGCCAGGTGAGGCCAGGCCAGGTAAGCGCTTCCCGGCCCCACTTCCTCGGGGGGGGGCGAGGGGGTCCCCCCCCCCCCCCCCC